CCCTCAATACCCTCAATACCCTCAATACCCGTAAAACCCCTAACCCGTAAAACTCCCTAAACCATAAAACCTTCGAAACCGTAAAACCCCCAAAAACCCTAACCCACACTGTAAAACCCTCCAACCCTCAGAATCCCTAACCCGTAAAACCCTCAAAACCCGTAAAGCCCCCAAAAACCCCTAACCTGTAAAAGCCGTAAAACCCTGAGAACCCTCTAACTCGTAAAACCCTCAGAAACCTCTAACTCGTAAACCCCCCCAAAAACCCTAACCCATAATGTAAAGCCCCTTAAAAACCAAAAACCAAAAACCAAAAAACCAAAAAACCAGAACCCCTCAAAAAAGCCCCCTCCCCAATTTTCAATTTTTATTATAAATGTTTTTTTTTTTCCTTCTTCCTTCTCCTCTTCCCATCCTCCTCTGTCCACCCCCACTTACCCCCCCCCACAGCCAAATAACCCAACCGAGAGCCAAAGAAGAAGAAGAAGAGCCAAAAAAAAAAAAAATAAATTAAAAATTAAAAAAGGAAAAAAGAAAAAAAAAAATGGAAAAAAAAAGGGGATATTGCAATGTAGTCTGGATATCGTGCTTTTTGCAGAAGGGGATGTCTACCGGTCGGTACTTTGTTTTGTCTGTCTGTCTGTCTGTTTGTCTGTCTGTTCCCCCGCGGGACAGACTTCCTGCCTTACTTACCTACTTACTTACCTACTCGTTTCGTTTCGTTTCGTTTCGAGACGCTTTTGCGTTGCGTTGCGCTGGATTGGATTGGATTGGATTGGATTGGATTGCGTCGCGTCGCGTTGCATTCCGGGATATCATCATCATAAGAGTAATCCGAGCAGCGAGCAGCTGCAGCTTCAGCGAGGAGCGGTTTGGGTTTGGGTTTGGCGCTGGGAGGATGCGGTGTGGTGGTGGTGGATTGTAGGTAGGTGTGTATGTATGTATGTAGGTATAATAAGTAAGTATATGTATAAGTACCGTACCTATATGAACGCATAGCTTGGCGCGTCTTCGTACCGACGGACGGATGGACACCTTGGATACACTTGGACACACTTGGGGGAAGGGCGTGCTGCTGCGCTTGTATTGTATTGTAGGCTGCTATTGCTAGATGGGGATTGATTGATGCGATGACAGCAATGACCAAGAAGAAGAAGAAGAAGAAGAAGAAGAAGAACGGACTCCAGCTCTCCAGAGTCTGCCGTCTCCAACACCAGGTGGACGAATGAACGAATGAACGGATATATAAGTGAACGAGTGAATAAATCATATCATAGGCATACCGAACCTACCCTACCTAACCTACTTAACCTACCTACCTTACCTACCCAAATAAATATCTTTCAAAAAGACAGGTACCGGTAGGGAAAGTAGGTTGGTTATGCTGCTGCTGCTGCTGCGTCTGCTGCGACTGCTGCGTCTGCGGCGACTGATGCGGAAAAAGAGTGCCCGTCGTGCGGCGGGCGTAGGAAAACTCTCTTCATGCAGTCCTCCGTAGTCCATCTGAGTTGAACGGCCAAAGCGTAGAGGGAAAGAATGTGGACATCGAGGACGACAGATAAGAAAAAAAAGACGGGAAGGGATTAAAGTCCAAGGATATTCAGTGAATTTCTTTCGGCCTGGTTGACTACCTAAAACCCCTCCCCCCAATCGGCGACCATCCCCCCCAAAAGAAACATTACAAGCAGCGTTGCTTCTAATCATCGATCCGAGCAATCGATAGAATACACAGAGTCAGCCAAAGCACAAAGAATTATTGATTCCAAAGCTCCATCCCGACGCCCACACTCCGGCAACTTCATGAATATAGGTCATCCCCTCCGATGTATCAGAAAGCGAATCAAGAATTAACGAGTCGGGCATCAGAGCGCTGGAACAAGTCATTATCGCTCCCTCCTTCTCTTCTGGTATAATGTCGTCTCATCCATCCCCCCTGGCCCCCGACCCATCCATAACATCATCGTGCTACAGCCATTCGTAAACCAGGAATTCATCTCAGGAAGCCATTCCGTAATCGCTTCATCCCATATTAACGCCAACTTATCGACGAGCCCGACTGACACATCGATAAAGTCCCAGATGCTTGCCAACAGCATGAAGTCGTAGTCCAAACATCAGCATGTAAATGACCCCGTTCACCCATGCGTGGAGATCGAGACTGGTATCCTAGTCGAATCGAGGTTGCCTCCCTCATGAGCCCACAGAGAAGGAGAACAGGTGAAGAGCTGCCTAGGAGTGAAAGAGATCCCACGCTCGGTCACACAGTCGGATAAACTCCTCCTTCTTGCGCTGCTGGCTCGCGGGACTATCGCGGCCTTCGCCAAACGGTCCGCGTCGACTCGCGGACGGTCCGGTTCCGAGGGGTGGGCTGCCGCCTTCTTCGTACTCGGCGCGGGCTCTCCTCCGCGGGCCGCCGCTGCGCGCAGATTCACTGTATCTCATGGCCGTGCCGGTCAGGGGAGACGGTGGCGTGGGAGGTTGCTGATGTCGGCCATAGTGTACGAGCTTGGGCAAGAGCTCGGGTCGGCCACCGGCCAGTTCTGCTTGCGCATCTTCGGCGGACCGGTACTCCCGAGGTCGGGCAGAGGGGGGCGGCTGATGGTTGTTGCGCCCGGGGGACGGAAACGCCGGTCTCGTATTCGAATGCGAGGAGTTGGCGGCGGATCCGGCGTTGTTGGGGAAGAACGCACCACGGCTGGTCTGGACCTCACGGTGGGCACCGAGACCCTCGGCGGCGAACACATCGGTGATGGGCGGAAGGCGGTTGCTGGTCTGCGTTGCTGGGACGTGGTGGATGTGCGACGTGTTGGCGAGGTTCGACGAGGGATTTTGGATGTGTCGAGTGAGCGGGTGTGCTTGGTGTCGTCCGGTGAAGGATTGGTGCAGAGGGGCCGATTGAATCACCCTCTCGTGCGCGAATTGCTCATGAGATGGTGCGACGATGCTGAGCCCCGGAGGCGCTTTCCTCTTGGACGTCCCGGGAGTTTTGGCAGGGAACGCCGATCCTCCCAGTTCACGCTCCCGGGCACTTTCCATGGGGGCGTCGCCGGGCTTGGCCGTCTGCTGCAGTCGCGACACGATCAGTTGTCTCTGCTGCTCGCGGACCGAGATGCTGCGTTGCAATTGTTCCCGCATGGTGGGATCTTGGGTGACGAACCCGGGCGACAGACACGCCAGGCCGACGTCGTGAATCAACAGCCCGTCTCCGCCGCGCGCGGTCAGCGGGCCCGCGGAGGGTCGCGAGGTCGCCGGGTGAGCGCTGGCCGTGTTCTTTGAAAGGTCGAGTTTTCGGGGTCGGTGTCGAGACGTCGATAGATCCGGCGACGATGGCATCTCCTTCTTGATCGTGATCTTCGGGGCCGTGCCAATTCGCGCCCTACAGAGATGCGGATGTCAGTCATGGGGCATGGAGCGTTGGGAGGGACCAGGCCCGCCATGGGCGGTCGAGACTCACGTATTGGGGGGACTCTTTGCGGCTGGAGTTGTCTCTGGGCTCCCACTCCCTGCCCTGTGGTCGGCATGATTCGACGTGGCCGAAGCTACACGGTGCACTGGTGGCGACTTGGACCGGTCAGAGTGGCGCTGGGGGGCCGATGGGGTCATGTCTATATACGAGGGCCGGTCGTGAGGTGCTGGCGACGGAGCCATGGCGATGGCAGTGCTCATGCTGTCGGAGGGTTGGAGTGCGGGTGGGTGGAGTTGTGACCGCGAGACGCTCTCTGGGTTCGGGTTCGGGTTCGGGGATGATCAGCTGCTGCCGCTGTAAGTAGGCCTCTCCGGTCTGGCGGTGCTGCACAACTGAATGCGAGCGCTCGGTGCCTCTTGCTTCTTTTCACACCTGGCGCGAACGAGAGACGTGTTCTATAGAATGAAGCTATCTCTGCTGTGCTGGGCAGGTAAGAATTGGAAGAAGGATGAGGAGGAGGAGGAGGAGGAGGAAGTGGTGGTGGGTGGCGGTGGGTGGTGGTGGAGAAAAGAGGAGGAGGAGGAGGACAAGGCGGGAGATGCGCCTCGAGTCGGGGATCACAAACGCGGATGGCCAGGATCTCCTGAATTTGAATTTGAATTTTGCACTTCTTTCCCTTCTTTGCTTGCCAACCCGGAAACGAAGGTGTGAAGGAAGGAGCAGAGGGTGCAGAGAGCAGAGGCAGCAGAGAGCAGAGAGCAGAGAGCAGAGAGCAGAGAGAATCGAGAAAACCGAGAGAACAGAGAGGAGCAGAAAGCCGATAAAAGAAGGGAAGTGGGGCTGATGCTGGTGCTGGTGCTGGTACTGGTGCTGGTACTGGTGCCGGTGCGAGAGGGATCAAGAGCAGAGGCGGTCCTGTCGTGTCGAAGAAAAGACGGAGAGAGACGGAGGGATGAGAGAAGGTGTGAGCGGGGTGGCGGTGAGATTTTATTATGAATTGCCCGCCGGCCCGACTTGGGGGGAGGGTTGAGGGCGAAGGGCGAGGACGAGGACGAGGGGGGAAGGGTTGAGGGTTGAGGGTAAGTGTCAGTGCAGTGCAGTGGAGTGCAGTGCAGTGAGGAGACGTGAGGAAGAGCACTGGCTCTGGCACTGGCCACTGGCCACTGGCCACTGGCCACCGGCCACTGGGGCAGTAGAGGGGCCTGGGCACGTTTTCCTTGTTTCAGCATTCGATAGATAAGTCTGTAAGTGTCTGTAGCGTCTGTAGCGTCTGTAGTATCTGTAATGTCTGTAGTACCTGGAACCAGCCCCCCCGGAGAGAGTTGGTGGCTGGTGGCTCGCAGTGGCCAGTGCCAGCCAGTACCAGCCAGTACCAGCCCAGGGACTGCCTGCCCCCGTCCATTTTACCCTTTTACCCTTTCTACTACTACGTACGCTCTACCGGACGATACTACGCTATTCCTGCTCTATTTCCGATTTCGAAACCAATATCCAAAGTGCTTGCCCAGAGATTTCATAATCAAATCAGACTGCCTGTGTCCGAAAGGGGGACGGTGATGGAGACCACTTCTTGCCAGGACCCCCCATATCTGCATCTCCACTCCCCGCCCAAGCTGTTTCCTATAGACAGCGACCATGGGAAAAGGCTTGACCCATTCTGCGGAGGGCGGTGTCTACTGTATACAAGACCCTCGTCTCGTCCGCGACCCTGACTCTCCTCAGCCCGCAAGTCCGGTGGGTCGTGCTCGTCGCCAAATAACAGATCGGATATGAGCCCATCTATTTGCAGGAGATGATGCGGACAAAATTAACAACAACGGATGAACTCCCCATGATCGCCATCTCAAGTTCAGTTCCGCAGAATGGAATCCAAATGCATTCCCGACATTTCAAACCGGGCCTCATCTCCATGCACCCCACCCGGGAGAGCAAGCAGCCTCGTCTCTGTCAAACAAATCAAAAACACCCGTCTCGATAGGTACTTGTCAACCCATATCGAGCCGAAAATGTGTCGGATATCGCGCAAGTGCACATGGCAGCATTCGCTATTCCCGGGCAAAGTCAGCGAAAAGTCCTTCGTAGGTCAACCGGAATCGGTATGGATGGGTTATGAACCTATATTTCCTCCGTTGCTCGCCGATGCGAGAGGGAGAACCAACTCTGCACTCTCGAGCCCTGACTAAGCGGTCTTGGCAATAGTCACCTGACTGAACCGTGATCACGCCGAGGTAGATCCGAAGACGGATACCGTACGGTACCGGTAGTCCAAAGTCTCGTCAGAGCTAACGGGTAACGACAAAAATAATCCTTCCCGACTAAGGAGTCTTTCACGGGGGTATGCGATGAAAGGTCCCGGCTCCGACGCATCGGACAGGCTACAGCAGGTCTCACAAGGCGCCATGAAACGCGGCTCAGCTGTCTCGCCCAGCTCCCACCAAAACACCGCCCCCCCCCCCCCCACTCGGTAAGGATTAAATGCGTCGAAACGACCACCGATCGAAATAAACATCGGGTGGGCAGCCCCTCCACGCTTCAATATCGAAGTGACGCCTCCTTTTATCATCGGATTCCATTGGGATGCGTCGAAGTTACAGCCCTGCATCATCGACCCAGGTGGCGAGTAAAGAGCGAGGAAAAGGGGATGGTGGTTGAGTTCAGTCTATCGGTATACCGTACTCCGTAGATCTGTACGGTAGCCGCGCGGTAGGACTTGGGCATTCGCCACCGCATTCGAACGTTGGAGAAACTTCCACCTCTCCTGATGACGTCTGCTACACGCATCTACGGAGTGATCGAGGGCTGTTTTCCTCCGGTGGGTATAGCCGATCCAGTACTGGTTACGGTCCGAATCCGAAAGGGCGGCGATGCCTTCGAGCCTGGTACACATTGTACGGAGTACGGTACGGAGGTGGTTTGTAGAAAATAGTATGTTGCCGCCTTCGCTGGCAGGCGAGGCTTCCCACCGTGATCTTGTACTGACCGCCATTCGGCCAGTCATTATGCTATGGTTAGCTAAAGACGGTGATACTCCGTACCTGACCGTAGGTAGTAAGTATCATTCATTCTCACTTGCATTCTGGACACAACGAAAGTCACAAAATAATGTGGCCTGCCCTGATGAAGAGCAAGACCAACGAAAAGTTATGTTCGAAACCACGAAATCCGAACAAAGAGCGAGCCACTACCTCTCTATGCATACTCGGTACGAAGTCGGTCGGCGAAAATGTGCTTGGGCTGAAGAAGGCTGTGGATATACCCGTAGCCTTGCCATCCTCGGCCTTTTCCTAAAGGGTACTAGCGCAATCTTTGAAAACCGTTCTCGATAAGAAATTCTTTTTTTGCAATCCGCCCGCCCGCCTTCTGAAATTGCGCCTGGGGGAGATTCCGCCGCCCAACCAACCTGTCAAAATGCCTCCAAAGAAGTCGACAGCTGTTGCTGTTGACGATCCAGCCGCAGACGATGTTTCCATGACTGATGCTCCCGCCGCCGAGGACGGCACTCCCGCGCCACAGGAAAAGCCGTGGGTGGACGAGAAGCGGATCAGAATCGTATGCTTCGAACCATTCCGCCGAAGGGGCAGGGGAAGGGGAAGTCATAAACGTTTTGCTAAAGGATACCTGTAGCTTCCAGGATCTTCAGATACCGCTGCGTCGTTCGAGTTTAAGAAGGAGGATCATACGCTGGGGAATTCGCTACGATACATAATCATGAAGAAGTATGGCAATCTGGACGACCCTTTGCATTCTTTGAGCTACCTACCAATCTCACACTCTGAACTGGAACGATGTACGAGGCTAACGTCCGTCCGTCCTCGCAAAAGCCCCAATGTAGAATTCTGCGGATACTCGATTCCCCATCCCAGTGAAGAGCTGATGAACATCCGAATCCAGACGTATGGTGAGTAGCATGGTGACGCACAAACACTCAAAAAAAAAAAAAAAGCTGACGAGTGTGCAGAAGGAACAACGGCAGTGGCAGCGTTGGATAAAGGGTTCCAAGACTTGATGGACTTATGTGACGAGGTAGCACTCAAGTTCATGCAGGCTCGAGAAGATTTCGACGGAGCGAAGGATTAAGAGAGGACATAGCAAGGGATTGCTCGGCGTTCAGGCATGGAAAACTGCGGAGTTTTGATTCTGGTCCATTCGGAAGGCAAATGTACAAAAGGCTATGAAACAACAAGGAACACTCAGTTGCGACCCTGTATCCTCGTCGTTAGTCTGTGATAGGGAGGTAGTGGGGCGGTAAAGACTCGCCTCGAGGAATCCATTCATGAAGTTTGTTGGGCGGCGTGCCTTGACATCTTCCTCTGCGCGAAAGTATTTGAGGATGTGCGGTAGTTGCTTCCAGTAGTTCAGAGTTTCCTGCAATCAAGAATGTTAGCCAAGCTCGACCTCAGAGTTGACAATGAAGCTCCCCCCAGCAGATACTTCCAACGCATCTTGGATCCTCGAGTACACAACTTGGATCCTGGAGTGTGTCGAGATTATCCAATCATCCCCTTGGCGTTCATAGCCTGGTTCCTTGCGGCCTTCTCCTCCGAATGGTAAAGGAAGATATCTACGAACCTGGTATTCTGCATGGCTCTGAAAGAGAAGCGTATCCACCACCTGTATCTGATTCACGTATCGATGCCTCTCAAACTCCTGCCGAATTTTCGTCCTCAACGCTGAAACCGGGATATTGAGGGAATACATGGTTTGGATCTCGGGTGCCTGTACATGGTCGTGAGCCTTTGGCTCTGCAGTCTACACCACCGACAGTTGTCCATATCATGTCCCTCCAAGCTCCTCCCTAGTCACACTGTCGGCGGTAGGACAACATACAGATCTGATCCATTCCCGGTAGTTCTTCAAGACCCTCCGTTGAGCATCCGCCCAATTGACCGCTGCACATCCAATTAGCAAACGTATTCCCTCAAAAATCAGCGTACGTGTAGAGCTCACATTGGCGCGTCCGCTGCGCAAGGTGTGTAGGGTTGATAACCATGGTGGCGTCGAGTGTTTCTATGGGTAGACTTCACTCACGTCGAGGAAGCTCGGCTACCTACCGGTACTACGTCGAGTTGTGGTCACGTGTGAGATTAAATAAGAACGAGGCTGAATCATAAGGCGCCCTCCCCCATTCCCACCTCCGCAAAACCACCCTCCATGCCACTTTGACGACCTGGAACCGCGCCACCCTGTCAAGCCCATCTAATTTTCAAAAGTCGGCGCACGCGCAGTTTACGCAATAATCACAAATATGCCTGCCATCCGCCATGCCAGCAAGCGCAAATCTCCCCCAGCAGGCTTCTCCGACATCGAAGACGACCTCTTAATTTTCAGCAATAAAATGAAAGACGCAGAGAACGCGCCCTCGACGAATGTCCCCCGACACGCTGTGCACTGGCCCATATTCCAAATCAGCCATCAGCGCAGCAGATATATCTACGAGCTGTACTACGAGAAGGAGGCAATCAGCAAGGAGCTCTATGAGTACTTGCTGAAGAATGCTTATGCGGACAAGATGCTGATTGCGAAGTGGAAGAAGACCGGATATGAAAAGGTTTGTTATTCCTGGCGTGCTCTGAGGCTCGAAGCACAGGCAGAGGCTGACCTTCCCATAGCTGTGCTGTCTCCGCTGTGTACAAACGAAGGAGACAAACTTTAACTCGACGTGTATATGCAGGGTTCCAAAGGCCCAGATGAAGGAGGATCAAGCGGTGGAATGCGTAAGCTGTGGGTGCAGAGGGTGTGCGTCGAGTGATTAAGCGGCTCTTCAAACAGGGTATGGAGAATATTGCTTTCGGATTTCATGATACCAGCACTGGCGTTCTACGAATGGGGAAATGTCAGCGCTCCCATAGGCTGCTGCGGCGGTTCGATATAAGGATTGGATCAGAGCATCGTCCTGGCGTTAGGGAAATGCCAGTGGGAAAAGTGGACTCCTGGATGCAAGGGAAACTATTTACGACTGAACCATTTCTGTTATGCATACCGTGGAAAGGTACTTGCTTCAGCATGAAGATGCCCTTACTGTGTGAGGTATGACATGCTAACTCGGCATAAAATTAGCGAAGACGAGGAACTGTAGACTTTCTAGCTACCTCATACTCCGGGACATTGCCCACGGAGCAAGCCACTAGAGCGTGGAAACTGAAGACCACGAAATCCTCGCTCGGCAGGGGCTCCCGCCAGACAAGTAATAGGCCCATTCCCTGCCTCCATTAACAGTAAAGAACCTTCGAGCTCCGAGATCCATAATGTCCCCGAGAACGCTAGCGCAATCGGAAAATCGTGTCTTTCCCAGGCATGGGCCCATGGAGCACCATAGCCCAGGCTTCCCAGTTCAAGTTCTTGGTATCAAAGTCCAGATTTGTGGAAAGGACCCGCTACCTCATGGGCACATCACAGATATACTATTGTATCAATGGTGTTCCATTCCGATATCAGATGAAAATAGAAAAAAGTCTTTGACCCAGATCACTAACTACGTAAAACTGTTGGAAGCGTGCACTAAGGCTGACAGAGCCCCCTCTTTACCCTGGGAGTACCTCGCTCGGAGTACCTCGCTTGAACCTAAGCGAAGTCGTATCTGCCTCCTAAGTACTACTAATAAACCGTGTCCCTCTTTCAACGTCTCCAAATCTAATCATGGCATCTACTGTACCGGTACTGTACCTCTCCACGGTAACTTTGTTTCATTATCTAATTGGAGAATCCTTATCCTCCTCCTACCTCTCCCGTTCTCCCGCGATAACCTCCCTCCGTAATACAAAAGTGGGGCCCGATCTTATTATAGCTGGGGTCCGTTTGATCTGCAGAACTAATGGCATAGGTGAGGTAGGTACGGTACCGGTACCTTAGGTACCTACCTTACCTATCCCGTTGGTTTTTTTCTAATCAGACTTTATTAGTCACGAGTACCTCGTATAAGAGAGGAAACAAGGCCAGTCCGCTAGATACTAGTAGGTTCAGCAAGGCCTGACTTGGGCAGGTGCGAATCGAGCGGGTGCAGGACCCGCACTGCTGTGCACGGCGGGGAGATGATGAAGAGAGAGAGATACAATTTTTTTTTTTTATATTATTTATATGTGTATATATATATATATATATATATATATATACGAAAAGCAACTGCACCCAAGACTCGAGACGAGCTCGTTACGAGCGAGGCACCGTGGCCGGGACCAGAGCGTGCAAATACGGGCACAGGGTTCACGCAGCAGTGCATATTGAGGAGGTGGGCGCGATTCCTTTCCTAGTTGGGTGGAAGAGGATGGACAGCCTGCACGGATCTGCTGCGGACTCGGGCGGAGGCATAGTGTACCGGTAGTAGTAAGAGGTTCTGGCAACGCTTTGCACACACATCGACTACGGGTTGGCGAGATACGGACTGCGGTGTTGGACACTTGATTGATGAGTTTGCTTGCAGAGTAAGAGATGCGAAGGGGAGCTTCTACATATGGGTGGGGGAGGGGGCAGAGAAATGAATGAATGGCATGGGCAGAAGAGTCGCTGTCTGGTATCTTTCGTTGCGCAGCTTGATCCGAGTGATTTGTGCATTCTTGAGGCCTGCTTGAAATCATCGGGACAAGGGAAAGAATGAGGGCTCTAGAAAGGCACCACGTCTGAATGCTGCTCGCAGATGGTGCGGATGACGCCTACCCAGGTCGTATCGAAGAAGGAAGTGGACGTTCGGGAGACGGTAGTCAAGTTCAACGGAGTTTATAGGGTGAAGAAGACGAGAGAGAAGAAGCTGGAGTGGACGCCAAAGATATACTGGGCTGGTCTGAACAGGGTCTATGTGTTTACTGATAGAGGGGCTTTGGAGAGTGAGTAATGGCTGGCTTCTGATGTGGAGGAGGAGTATGCTGAATTGCTGATGGAGTGATAATGGAGTTCCTCGGATGTTTAGTAAATGAGGGAAAGAGGATGGAGAAAAGAGCCTCGCGGTCTAGGACTACCGCGACGGACCGAGAGATACAGACGCAGGTGAAGGGAGTACGGAGAGGTGCAGTAGTGGTGGTGGTAGTGAAGAGGCGTTGTTGAACATCTTAGCAACGATAAGATTGAGTAATAGCTATGGTGGATTTCCAAGCGAAAGGAAGGAAAGTTCGCTTATGATAAAGGAAGGTTGTTGTTATATTACTCACTAGGGCTTACATGTATATGGGTGAGTGTTCTACTATTGGACATACCACAATGCACTTTTTCACTCCATTAAAAAGGCAACGAAAGTATACACTCATCGAAGTACGGCCAAATAAGGGGTCGCCTCGTCAATACATTACATTGTGATATAACTGTTTTATTACTAATAAAATACGTGAGTGCTGGTCTTCTACACAGCTGGCAAACCCAACTCCTACGAGCCCGCACTTCCCTCTCTCTCATCAAGCAGCTTTCGTCGCTCAGCCCCCTCTTTCGGATGCTTGAACGGACTCGCTCTCTTTTCCACCTCGCGACTTTCCCCGAACGCCAAATCCGACCCATGAACCTTCGTGTGCTTAAAATCCAACCAGCAGATCATCGTCTTCATCAGCCCATCCAGCCCCAACTCACCCAGCCCCCCTCTCATCCTCACCATCTTCGCCAGGCCAGCCATGTGCACCTGATAAGAATTTGCGTCTCCGTACATAGATTCCAGTAGCGACATGCAGAACACGGCACCTATCGTCTCGTCTGACTTACAGGTATCTGGGTCGAAGAGTGTGCTGTTGATGGATGAGATGGCTTTCTGGCGGAGCCTGAGGATCGTGAGACCAGTGGCGGGATGGCAACACCGGGGGTAGAAACTGTGAGACACGGGTTAGTCAATTGTCGCTACCTCAAAATGTTTCGGATCAGGGCAAGGCATGCTCCCAGATCGCTTATAACAACCAGAAGATAAAATGAATGCCTCCGCCCATCCAGCCGAATCCACTCGAAGCGATAAAAGACACAGTTAGAAGGATGAGGTAGGGCTTTCCCATGTACTTACAGTGTCCCAGCAAGTGCGAGGGCTGCGTAGAATGTGATGGGGCTCTTCATGATGAATGGGTACCAGGAGGACCTTAAACGAAAGACTTGGCCGGGTTTAGCTATGCCCGGTGTGTCGATAAGAACATGTGTCAGGTCTGAGAATGATCAGTGTCCGTTTCGTAGATAAATTTGAAGACTCAGAATTCATAGTGGAAAGTTTGGACCAGACTCGTAGGTCACCGAACGTACAAAAGTCCAAAATAGGCTCATACACGGGATCCCACGGGATGGGATAAGATTGAAACGGATCAACTCTCATCCCACTGAACGCCGGCTGATACGAAGTGTGAAAGGCGGAAACATAGTCTGGCCTTTCTTCTGGCGGTGTAGGCGTAGGCTGAGTGGAACTTGACCATGTTTCTCCAGAATCATCTTGCTCCAACGGAAGGCTTGTCACCAGAGAGCGGGACACAGATTTCCTTTTCCACCCTCTCATTCGCCTACCAGATCCAGGGTCTTTGCCATCATCCTTGTGATGCTGGTAATATGCTACAGCCGATCTGACCTGGCGCTTCTTCGACCTAGACTTAGTTTCCTTCGGATCGGTTATCGTGACGAAGCAATATGTAGGCGGCTTTGGCAACGGTAGGCGCTTCAGCTCTGAAGGAGCACCCATATTCAAGTTACTCGCCATTACCCGGAAATCTGAGCTGTGATCTTAAAACGCGCCGCAGTAGCCTCGCCATGGATGAACAAAACCGAGGCTGAGATTTTGCCTTATCCTTCGTCGTTCCCGACGCAGATGGTGGTCAGAAAAGTTTGTATTCCACCGCTTAGTCTGCAGGTAGAGTGTAAGTTATGTGCAGGTGCACGAGGGGTGGCGCAAGGCTTTCAATCCGCTGAATACGCTAGCACTGCAGCAGCGCTGCGGATTCTGAACCTAGGCGTTATGTAGATCAGGCCTCAGGAAGAAGCATGAATTTTTGAGGCACCGCTTGAGTGGACTAGGGGAGAAGCGTGGTGATTGCAAAGCCCTGTGGCTTCTAGGAGACGAACGCGCCCGACGTTGGTCGTTGGAAAGGGACCGGGGAAGCGAGGAAAAACAAAGCAACAGGGAGCCGCGTGAATTCGCCTGGCGATCACCTCCCTCGCGTAACCTTTCCGTGTTTTGCTGGAGCGGGTACCTAGGCATTGCAGGTACTCAAGTAAAACCTCACAAATATCTACTGCTACAAAATCACTCCCCACGTCTCCGATTTGGTCTCACAGATGGACGGCTCACTATGCAGGAAAGTAGGTTTAAAAAATACGGGGCTTATTGAATCGATTTTATTTTCCAGCCAGACGTTCCGCAAATGCTGAGTGGACCTCTCAAAAGAACCACCATCATGAACCGGCATGATGTACAAACAAACCCAGACGCCATGGTCCATTGCGCCGCATAACGCAGATTGATTCAAAACTTTTGTGGTATTTTCCCCTTCCAAGCGCCATATGCCCCTTTTTATGCCCACCTCGAAAAATCAAGAGACTCTACAAGGCTCTCTTCGCCAGTCGTGGGACCGACTTCTGTCTCAGCTGTCGACAGCAACGATGATCGTTGAGAAATCGGCTCTGGTGCGTGTGCCAAGAAATTTGCAACCGATGACCGTCGAAGACTGCTAATACTCTCCCGTAAATTCACACCATTTGAAGTTCCCGGAGGCGATGTGGCCATCACCCCTGCGTTCTTCACGGCGTATCTCTCTCGGATTCGATTGATAGCCTGCAATCGACTTCGCCATGATGATACATTCTCCCCGCCTTCCCTGTTAGCCCACACTAATGAGAATACCGATGCGTTGAGAGCTAGCAACCGGATAAAGCCCGGCAGGGCTGCCAAACTCATAATCTTCATCTCAGCCGCAGGTGATACTTCTGGAAAACCCGGTTTGCTCATGACCTGCACCCGATAAAACGCATCGTCTGCATGCATCTTGGATCTAAAGCGAGTCGCAACAAACGATGCCCGAGATTCTGGAGTGATGACAATATTGACGTAGTTAAACTGCGATGGGAAAGTGTCAAATCGGAAGGGAAGTCCAGAGTTATTGAAGATTATGTTGACAAAGTCGTTGCCAATATGTCTCTTCTTCATGATACACTGAGGATCGTTGTCCAGGTTAGTTGGCATTTGCGTTGTAACATGGAAAACAATTTCCGTGACCCGATCGCGCCAACAGAACGTGTACTTCCCATCCAAGTCAGATTCCTTGTCCAGCCCTTGAGTATTGAATTTTGCCCCCTTGAGCTTGGTGAGGGTACCGAGACGAGATAGGAATTCGGTGTAGTCACTGCTGCCCTGAATGTTCGCCAGGATTTCCACCTCGTTTGTTTGGTTTTCCCCGATGTAAATCACTCCAACCTTGTGGCCGTCCACGGTGAAGAGGCGGTTGAAAGTTCTCACAGCCCGTTCCATGTCTTCGTTGTTAGGCAAAGGTATAGGACGCATAGCCTCGCTTGCTAAAGGGGTCGAAGCTGACAATTGTAGTAGAAGATGGCTTGGCAACTTGACATTGTCGTCCGAGACACGCCCATCTTTCATTACATCTGCTAGTCCGGGATCCTGATGAGGCGGAGGTCGAATGAACTTCTCCTGAATAATGTAACGGGATGTCCCAGAAGGTTGTCGTTTGGTTATCTGAGCCCAATCTCCTCGTGTTGCTTGTTGAACAGTGATTAGACTGTTTCCAATGATCCACCTCTTCTTCTGGATTTCCCCGAGTAACTCTGGTGTGAAGGAGGGATCAGCATCGGACTCATCGACATCTGCATAAGCTACTCGCTGCATAAAGTCTAAGGTGACCTGTGCTTGCTCGTCGATCTTCTCTCTACCGTTCGCATCTGTGGAAACGAGGTTTCTGGTGATCCAGCTGACCTGTCCGGCACGGTCCGGGAGCTTTAAGGCCAAAAACCAGAATATGATGACATGATAGGCCAAGGCGTAGACATACTGTGGGAGATCGTCCGATGGATTGGGTTGAAAATTGCTCTCTGCGGGACTTGGGTCTGCAGGCAGATTTGCCAGGGGATTACGTCCAAGAGGATTACTGTTACGGTTACCGGCTTCTTTCGCGTCCTGGTCTCGAACGTACTGCAGGTACCGGAAGCAGATCGCAAAGACTATGCGATATTCCTCCTCGCGAAAGTTGATATAAAGATCTGGCAGTCTAGCTAGACATGCTAGGAACTCGAGGATATGGACTGCAACGTGGCTTTGGGTGATTATCTGCGACATCTTCTGAAGGATATGAATAAGTGATTTACTCGTTGAACCAGGAAGCTCGTGACAGCAAATCGAAAGTGCGTGGATGCAGGACTTGGAAGTTCGTTCGCCCACACCCTGCAGGAAGGTTCTGACAATGTCATCTTGATCGACCTTCTGAAAGTGGCGGTGGTAACTCATAACCATATTCAATATCTGGAAAAGGCAAATGCCCACATCGGCTTTGCGAAGCCCAGATGAATGCGGCGGATCGTAATAGGTACCGTTTTTGATCTGATCGCACAGAAGCTCCCGCAAATTCCTGATTTGCGGAATAGCGCCAACAAATAAAGCTTGATTTGTCAGTTGGGAAGCCAAATGCACGAGTATGTAACTGTAAATTTCCCAGTCACATCCGTTCTTGAGCAATTCAATGATATTGTCGAGGTAGAAGCCGATATCTAAAGCGGCAATATCCCTATGGATTGAATTGGTCGACGGCACGTTCCCTCCTTCCACTTCGCGGAATTCGTAATCGTCATGCAGTTCCTCGTCTACCTTTTCTCTGTCTGCATCGTTCTTTCTCAACACAGACTTTAACACGAGACTAGCCTTCCCAGAAGCAGGCTCGGGCAGAGCGTTTTGGTCAGGTGACATCCACATTTGATGATTTCGTTGCATTGTTCTGGTAAGTCCACTGGCAGTTCGAATTGGCTGTCGAACTTGTGGATAAGGTAGACTAACAGAGGTACTCCGGGAACTGCGGGAGGTCTCATCAATACGAGCTGAGCGCTGTTGCAAAGCAGCTTCATCAATGGCTTGTTTTCGTGCTAGTGAAGCAGCAGTACGGTAAAGGGTCACTGCGAGGCCATCCGATTCCGTGAAGGGTGTCAGGAAAATACCATTCGCCCAATCAGCTCTCAAACGAGATAGCATCTTCAATGCCGAGATACGCGCGTCCGTTTCGCAGCCGTGAGACTTGGCAATCCGGAGAAGTTCATGGAAGATCCGCAGAGCTTTCGAACTCGAATTGTCCATTGTCCTCATGAAAATCAAGATAAGGCCTCTCGTGACAACGTTCGACGGGGTCTGTATCAAGGTATTGGAGGTGGCCAAGGAATCAAGCCTGCTTGCATTCATCAGCCCGCGCCTAGATCCTGGTGGCGAAGCAAGAGGAGATTGTAGACGATCGCTGGTGATGCTGCTTCTGATGGCGTTTATAATAAAGTGAAAGAGTCTCTCGTCTGCCTTTTCTGCGACAGTCACTGCGAAGGAAACGACCTTCTCCAAAACTGTAGTGTCCTTCTCTTCGCCAATCTCATTCAAAATGGACATAACAAATACTTGAACGGTATCAGGGTCTTCATGCTCATCCATCATTTCAATAACCTCGAAAACATCTGTGATAGCTTTCAGCGCGTGTAAGCGAATATGAGTATGTCGAGATCTGTCAGTGAAGAAGGCCGACAGTATCATCTTCGTGTTGTCTTTCCAATCCAAGTCCGAAGGGTAGCAGTAACGGTACTCCATGTAGTAGTCGATAACAAACCTAGCGCAAGATTCCGGCAACTGTGAATGACAAGTGACGAAAAACTTTACACAGTCCTCCTTCTGGAAGAAATCCACGCTAGGGAGTTTGGAGAGGAGCGCTTCGATCCGCAATATAATTTTGTGTAGAGTCTGACCCAGGCCGGTGGCTGAAGTCTGATTGCCCAGGTCATCCTTGGCCGTTGAATTTTTGAGACGAGAACGGCTCATGATTTGGCGACCCTCAGGATTCTCCAACGCCCTCTGCGAACATTTGATTACCACATCGAACATCATGGACCAGTCTTCTTGAATGACATTCTCCTTGATCTCTTTCTTCTCGTCACTGAGGAGGGACAGGATCAAATTGAGGACGTCATTTTCCACCTTTGTGTGCTCCACGTTCACCACCTTCTCTAGCGCAGCAATGAGAAGCGTGAAGGGAACAAGAGGATAACCCTTCTGGCCATCCTTCGCAAATAGCTTTTCTAGTACTGACAATGCCCCACGGATCTCTCGGACTGTTTGCCTTCCGCTCGCCGAGTCGGCCGGAGGTTCTTGAAGGATGTTGAGCAGGATTCTGACGGTCTTCTGTGCATTATGTGACCTGCATAGGTTGCTAATAGAACGCCACGCTTCAGATTGCACATCACTAACTAGACAATGTATGGAGCAGAGCACTTTGACACATCCCGACAACTTTTCGCCTGGAATGTCGCCATAAGTAACAATGGCATTGATAACATCGATACATGTCTTCAAGTCGCTGGAGAGTGGCGTGTTAACGCAGATATAGAGCACAACATCGATGAGCCCGCCCGTGGTTTCTTCGCTGGAAACGCTAAAGCTGAATTTGATCACGTCCACGATGAAAGCGAAAAGAAGTGATAGGTTGGTCTCCTCGCTAAGCGGGGTTTTGGATTTCGAACTCCTATTCCGACCTGCATTTCTTCTAGCCGCGGAAGTAATAGCAAAATTATGTCGTAACCAGGAGGTCAAAAGAGGTAAAGTCTCATAATGGAAGCCCGAAAGATCCTTTCCATGTTTCGCCAATTCCACCAGGGCCGTAAGTTGAAACTGGAAGTCCTCGGGATTTGCTGGAGCAGTAAGAACGTGGAAAAAAGCCAGGCGCTCCGGGTCCGTAGAAGTTGATTGTCGAACATAGGCAGTCAAAAGCTCGAATCCAGCAACACGGACCTCTCTGGGGTTTCTTGATTCAATGAGGTCTTTCCCTTGTTTGAATATACTCGTCACCTAACATACATCAGCCAAAGCCCTTGTTCGTAGCCACACACCGAGCCACATACCCCGCTTAACGGATAATCCTGCACCGCATGGCGAAGTGCTTCTGCAGCAGCAAGTCGGTCTGCAAGAGGGTTCCCGGGCTTCAGTGTATCGTACAGGTGCTCATAATCGGGCGGACCACCATAGGTCGCTGACTGTGGGTAGACAATCTGTTGCAGACTGGCCGAGCCAGCGAGAGACGCTGCTGAAGAGCTAGGATTTGGGTTCCTGGTTGATCTACTACCAGTCAAGCTCTTGAAGACGCTGGCAAAGCCGCTGGTGGGTTTCGGCTCTGGGGTCTGGGCTACGTCTCCAGATGCTGGAGACATAGACACTGGAGTGGTTGGTTCCAGGTGGAGTGGTTACTCTGTGCGCATAGCATGATGGTCAGCTCCGGGATCTTTGGCCATCTTTTGGCAGAATGGTGGTCGAGCAGTAAGAGGCCCGCCGTTGGTTGTCTACTCGGATCGAGGGCCGAGAGCCATGCGACTCTGGGTGATCTGGAGAATGAATAGTACAGTTGTGAAAGCCAAACTCACATGAAGTCCAGTACACGCATAGAGAAATGCGAGGCGGAGCGTAGCAGCACTGCTCGTCGGGGGGCATAACAGATCGGGACTGATAAGGAAAGACGAATGCGACAGAGACGCTGGACTGGATTAGGTTGGCTAATCTCTGAGCTCCATGAGTCAAGGAGGGCGGGCAGACAGGATAGAAGGAGGAGAAAGCGACACGGTTGCAATGTATAGGAAGTTGAAGATGTAGTTGTAGTAGTTAGTGGCCGACGAGATCTCAGGGTTCCAGGCTCTGTTGATGATTGGCAGACCGGAGTTATCCCGCCGCTATCGCCCGTAGCCTTGCCGAAAATAAATACTTCCTGAGGTACTGTTTGTCAATAGGGCTGGCTGGATGAACCCACTCCTCGTCTTCCTTTCCACCCCACCACGAAGCCACACTCTATCGCTCCACCGAGATGCTTTCCGATCTGCCAACCGTGGTACAGCTTCTCCAGGCTACTCTGGATCCGCAACAACACAAGCAAGGCAAGTTCAAGCTCGTTCGTAAAAACGAAATCAGTCAGTCGCGTTTGTCTGGTTCGTCGAAAGGCTGACTGTCGCGTAGCTGAGGCCGCGCTCAAGAACGAAGAGACTCAGCCTGGGTTCTCTCTTCTCTTACTGAACATCGTCGCATCCGAATCTCTTCCACTCAATACCCGACTTTCGGGCGCTCTTGTATTCAAGAACTTCATCAAGTTCAACTGGGTGGTGGGTGTCTGGAGGCTTCCGCTTGCTTGGAGCTCTGCTGATGTAGCGCTACCAGGACGAAGATGGAAACCACAAACTCCCTGTAGACGAGGTCACCACGATTAAGAAGGAGCTCATAGGCCTGATGATCACGGTCCCGGCGAGCATACAATCACAACTGGGAGAGACGATCAGTGTGATCGCAGATTCCGATTTCTGGACTAAGTGGGATTCTTTGGTCGATGTAAGTCTCTCAGACTCTCTACACGCCCGATGGACCCTCAGAACTTGTACTGATATGTTCAGGACCTGGTCTCACGCCTAACGCCCGATAATCCAAGAGTCAACATTGGGGTCTTGGAGGTTGCGCACTCGATTTTCAAGAGATGGAGACCGCTCTTCGCATCCGATGGCCTGTATACCGAAATCAACCATGTTCTGTCGAAGTTTGGAGAGCCGTTCGTTCAACTGCTTGCAGTAATACCCCGCAGCCCCTCTCGACAGTCATCTGGCTAATCAGTTACTGTGACAGAATACCGACCGCCAAATCGACGCGAACAAGGATGATAAGGATGTTCTGAAGCAATATGTAGAGGTTATGAATCTTCTGGTCAAGCTCTTCTACGACCTTTCCTCGCAGGATCTTCCTCCTATATTTGAAGAGAACCTCGGAGGCGTCACCTCGCTGTTACACAAGTACCTCACGTACGAGAACCCCCTGTTGGCGACCGACGACGATTCTGAGTCTGGACCCTTGGAATATGTGAAGGCTGGTATCTGCGAGGTAATGACTTTGTATATGCAGAAATACGAGGATGCTTTCGGAGAGCTTTGCAAACCATTCATCACAAGTACCTGGAGTTTGTTGACGACCATTGGCCCGGAGACGAAATTCGACATCCTTGTCAGCAAGGCCTTGCATTTCCTGACAGCCGTGGCTAGCATCAGCACGCACGCCGAGAACTTCAACAACGAGGCTATCTTGGGAGAAGTCGTGGAGAAAGTTATTCTGCCCAATGTCAGTCTGCGCGAGTCGGACATTGAGCAATTTGAGGATGAGCCCATTGAATACATCCGGAGGGATCTCGAAGGATCCGATGCAGATACTCGCCGGAGGGCAGCCACCGATTTCTTGCGGAAGCTGTTAGAGAGATTTGAAGCCATCGTTACACAGGTGGTTGGTGTCTACATTAACCATTACCTAGAAGACTTCTCCAAGGATCCCAGAAGTGCATGGAAATCGAAGGATACAGCGGTGTATCTTTTCTCGGCTATCGCCGCAAAGGGCGGCATTACCGCCAACCACGGAGTCAAAACAACCAACTCATTGGTCAACATCGTCGAGTTCTTTCAGAACAACATTGCTAGCGATCTCATTGCGGATACCGGTGTGGAGCCGATTTTGAAAGTAGACGCCATCAAATTTCTCTATACTTTCCGCAGTCAACTGACACGGGAGCAATGGAGTGCAGCATTCCCGCCTCTCGTTAAGAACCTTGGATCGTCAAATTATGTTGTCTACACATATGCTTCGATTGCGGTTGAGCGAGTTCTATTCCTTACAAATGAAGCAGGACAGCACATCTTCGGAAAGGATGATGTTGCACCGTTCGCAAAGGATCTTCTGGAACACTTATTTCAGTTGATAGAGAAAGACCCCGCCCCTGAAAAGGTTCAAGAAAACGAGTTCTTGATGCGTTGTGTGATGAGAGTCTTGATTGTGATTAAGGATGCTGTATCGCCAATTCTGGAAATTCTGCTCAAACATTTGATCGATATCACTGGAATCATCGCCCAAAATCCAAGTAATCCGCGCTTCTACTACTATCATTTTGAGGCGATGGGTGCACTTGTCAGATTCTCAGCTCCATCGCAACCGGAAAAGCTTGAGAACGATATGTACACCCCATTCGCAGGCGTTCTGCAGAACGACATTCAAGGTAGGTCAAACTGCTGATGCGATCTCGATCTCTGCTAACGAACCACTAGAATTCATGCCGTATGTCTTCCAGCTTTTCGCTGCTCTTCTCGAGTCCCGCCCGCAAGGTCCACTATCCGAATACTACAAGGCATTGATTGGCCCGGTACTCTCACCTGCTCTATGGGAGTCGAGGGGTAATGTTCCGGCACTGGCTCGCTTGCTCTCTTCCATTATCCCTAGAGCCGGCGCGGATATTGTGGCAGCTGGCCAGATTGAGCCTATCCTGGGAATCTTTCAAAAGCTCATCGCTGGCAAGGCGAGAACCGAGCTATACGGTCTCGACGTATTGGAAGCTGTAGTTGTATCCTGCGACGTGTTGGTTTTCCCCATTTACCATGAGATGGCCTTTGCTGATCTAGTATATTATAGGGCTGCTATCCAACAATACTTTCCCACCATCCTCAACCTACTATTCACACGACTCCAATCTAACCCGAATGAGAAATTCAAGCAGAGATTCGTTCGTTTCTATCACCTGATTTCGTCACGGGACCAATCTGGTCTCGGCGCAGATTTCTTTATCAAGAATGCGGATGCAGTTCAAGACGGCGTTTACGTTCCGCTCTACCTCACGATTATCCTCCCTAAGACCCAAGAACTTGTACGACCAGTCGACCGCAAGCTTGCAGTCATATCGTTGACCAAGACCCTGTGCGACTCCCAAGCCTTCGCAGTAAAGTATCAAAAGGGATGGGGTAAGACCTGCGAAGCACTACTAAAGTTACTGGAGAACCCGCCGGTACTCGTATCCTCAGATGATGCTGTCGTCGAAGTCGACGTCGATGACCTGAGCTTTGGAGTTGGCTTTACACCACTGAACACGTGCAAGAAGGTACCCAAGGACGAATGGGCGGAGGTGACAGATGTCAAGTCCTGGGTAGGCACATACCTGAAGGAGGCTGACGGAAGACACGGAGGTACAATTGGCGGATATGTTAATGAACGCCTTGTTCCAGAGGCAAAGAATGTGTTGGTCTCTTACATGAGATAGGATGGAACGATGAATCGACAGATAATGGATGAGGGGATATGGGTCGGGACGATGCAGAAGTCTACCATGTTGAGGGAGCCACAGCTATGCCTGAGCAAAATTCAAAAGCGTTAAATCTGTGTCTACGCCGACTGAACTCCACTTCTTGAGCGCAGAATTAGTTCCTCGTGTGAGATCCGACTAAAGTCATAGCTTTAAACCGCTGAATAACTTTAGTACTGAGGAATCCAACGACGAGAATTGCAAACGTGTAGTAAGAATTTAACTTCCCCTTTTGCTGAACATCAAGTCTGGGGCACAGAGCAAACCCAAATTCTACAAATTGTATTCACAGGCTCAGCTCGTCTAAATCTGGATGAAACGAGTAATGGTTTACAGGCTCAGCTCGTTCAAAATCTGAATGAAAGGAGCACAGACAGATGTTAGCAAAGCACCAAGTAAAGAAAGAGGTAGAGTAAATAGACTAGTTTCGGAGCTAACTTAACTCAACTTGCGTAGCTACGGAGTTGACCTTATAAACAATTAACTGAGTCAAGTTTTCAAAGAGTTATGTTAAACGAATTCGGTATATAATTGATCAAGGGCGGAGGCAGTTTAAGCTAATCTAAGCCAAATACGGTATATCCGCACATCGAGGTAACATATCCCTACTGTATGCACAAGTAGAAAGCCAATTGTTCTTAAAAGGACCATCCTATGAGCGTCCACGACCGTTCAAGACTGTTTCAAGGGCCCCTTTGGTCGCCCACGCATGATGTACCACGGTACAGGCCTAAGTATTACCCCTCGAGGGTGCCTTAAAAGTTTAGTTTCCACTTTAAACCCCCTGTTTTCCCTACCCTCGAGGGGTAATACTTACGCCTGCGACGTAGTATCCTGAGGGTAGGATGTACAGTTTGAGCCTTCAAACCTGTTTTGATTCACCACGTTTTAAAGTCAGAAATTGGATTTCAAAATTGGATTTTGCTATCCCATACAAACCGTACTGAGGTCTTAAAACCCCATCTGGAGAACCTTTCATATCCTTAAAACTCGCAATTCTATTTCGTAACTGGCTTCTCCTTACGATACTTCAACCTCCCCCCCTTTTCCTCACTTTTTCTTTCAAAATAGAAATATAAAACACTCGCCTTACCATCCGAGTCTTGAGCGCTGTCAAATTAAAACAAGCTGAATTATGCAATAAGATCTCGTGACCGAAATTGAGGTTAAGGTATTCGTTTTAAATATTTAAGATAAACTAATGCTCGTTCTTTATAATATACGATTAAAATATAAAAACCCTTTTTCTAATGTTGTCGTTTAATAATAGTTTAATAACACTGATGCCAAGATATTTTTCGGTATCGCTATTATAGCGTATATATCAACGCTTTAAAAGATTTAAAATCGGAATCGATTGATTCGCTAAAAGATTGCTTTGCTCCTGCTTGTCACCACGCATGATAGCGACGGTGATAGATAAAAAGAAGTAGGGTAAAGGAAGGGATGAGGTAAAGGCTAAGGGCTAAAATATTTGCTTACTAATCTAAGTTCTCGAAGACGGTCTAAAGTTCTAAAGTTCGAAGACGGCTTTAGGACGCTTATGAGACGGTCTTAAATCGGTCTGGAAACGATCGAGGATAACCTGTAAACGGAAAGACGAGCTTTTATAAAAGACCGTTCAAAAATTTTTAAGATGAATCTATTTTAGCTACGATTTAAATGATTTTACTGGTTTGATTTCAGATTCTATTTAATCTTAAGTATCAGCTTAAATTGATCTATTAATTATGCTAACCTCTTAGGACCGTCTTTTAAGAAGACCGTGATCGGATTGTCAGCTGTAGGTTTAAATAACTCTTTACCTGCCTTTAAGGTAAGATTTTATATTCTCAGAAAATGGTTATTTCAAACCCTTATTATCAAACTTCAGGGGGTCTACGATTCTTTACGTACTACTACGTACCTGTACGAGGTGTCCCTTACGAACCTTCAGCTCTCTTTCTTGCGGCAAGAAGAGTTTGAGGAGCCGAAATTGAATCAAAGTAGCTTCAACCTTTCGAAAGATTTCCCCTTACTGGCGATCCGAACAAGCCTTCTCTTACCTCGATTACCACGCCGACTACGATCTATACCTGACGGGCATACCGACTGAAACTACTCAAGGGATTTGCGATAGAAAGGGAACGGGGTAAGAGAAATGGAAATGGGTTTACGACGAACTACGATATTGCACCTTCGAAAATGCTACCTAGCTGACTCCAGTCCGGCCTTGAATTGTCTCGATAATTGATACCGATATACGTTACTTACGCTATAACTTGCTTTTTAAGTTTTTCCTTCGACGATTTTTTTTTTCTGCGATCCATTTTATCCGTAAAGAAAAGGCACAATCGATAGCAGCTGCGCTGTACTAACCTAAAATGCTTTTAAGGGTTACAAAGGTTATGCGATACCGCGAGAATACTTAAAGACCCGGGGCTATCTGAAAGAAAGCTTTTCCTTCACGTGGTTCTTACTTCGATTGAATAGTACTTTATACTACTATAACTCCTTTACTTAGCACGTTGCCGTACCCCATGAGAGGTCCCAAGGCTGCAGGCAAAGCTTGCCACCCGCCCGACGTCAATAAATACAACAACAATAACAATTGCAAAACTTCAGGTTCTACAGTCTACAACTGGATTCTACCGGTATAATCTATGTGCGACCAAAGAGGCCCTAAATCCGTCTCAAGTCCGTTCGAGAAGCGGTCTCGGAAGCTTAATCAATAAGCATGTCGCTTATCTTTCTATTAATAGCATTCTCTAGCTCCCAACCTCCTTGCCTTCCGATCTTTCCCTCTAATCGTACCCCTGGTCGGAGTACTAGTCAGAGGCAGGAATGCGGTTCCTAGTACCCTTTAGTAATACGGTCAATTTTCAGTAATACGGTTAATTTTTTCGTGATTTTTCTTCCAATATATATATCTATCACAATTCTTAATAGAAAAATTATTTTTAAAATATGATATTATTCTTTAATAATAGACCTACTTTAAGAAAAAATTTACGTATTAATAGGATTTTAAAACGCGATTATATTCGTATATTAGCCTCGTCGACGCTATTCAAATAACTTTCCATCAAGTAAACAAATAAATAACTAAGCAACTACAAATAATTACATGTAACCTTTTAAAAAATCATAATCGATAGCTTCGAATCTTTATTCTGCCTCATTTTAAATAGCTTAACGCAATAATAGCTCGATCGTTTTCTGCAAATTCGCCGTACTTTTTAAATTTTTAAAGTGCGCCGACCATTCTAAAAGCCTCGCATCTTTACTCAAATAGCCGCCCATTTCATTACAACCTTTAACCGATCGATCCATTATTGCTTTAAGCTATTAAAATTGAGAAAGAATATAAATTAAAAGCTATCAATTATGATTTTTTAAAAGGTTATATATAATTATTTGTAGTTGCTTAATTATTTAATTATTTACTTAACTAAAAATTATTTAGATACCGCCGACGAGGTTAATATACAGATATAATCGCGCTTTACAATCATACCAGCTTTTAAATTTTTTCTTAAAGTAGGTGTATTCTTAAAGAATAATATTATACTTTAAAAATAATTTTTCTGTTAAAAGTTATAATAGATATATATATTAAAAGAAGAATCACGAAAAAGTTGACCGTATTACTGAAAATTGACCGTATTACTGAAGGGTACTAGGAACCGCATTCCTGCCTCTGACTAGTACTCCGACCAGGGGTACGATTAAGTAGGTTTCTTACGGTTGAAAATCCGCCAAGAAATCCCGCTTCGTACCCAAAATCACCTCCAATCTCATTGATTACAACGTAACTCTGCAACTACGAAGTACAGCCTCTATTGCAAATACGAGTATCGAGCTTTTGCTTCGAAATGATGGCGCTAGCCTACCGAGTTGCACTTCCAATTCCGGCGAGATAGCCCGACTCCGTACACTACTTTTTGTCGTACCTCGGCCGTAGCCTTATTTTGGTCCGCAAAAGCCTTATATCCTTATGAAAAGGTTTCACCGAAGACTGAAACGGAAATCCTTGGCCGCGATCATGAACAGACTTTTTTCTCCGCGTGTTCTTCTTATGACGCAATTCAGGAGGATACTTTGTGTTGGCACACGCACTTTGTTCCCCAGGTAAGGGTGAGATAGGATGAAGTGCCAAGGTTCAGATGTCTGTCCTGTCAATCTGATCTATTTCCAGGAAAGAGATGGGTTGCGAATATCTAAGCTAAGAGAAGGCCCTGGGGATTGACTCCCTTAAGTCCGTACGTATATCGGGATAGCTAGCACATACACTTGCGCATCACTTTTTGTCTCGGTAGGCCAGACTCCTGAACATGTACGTAGTACGTAGTATAAGGCGAGCAAGCTGGCACTTTATTTTCCTCGTACTACTATCCCCCCCCAATGAATAAATGTCGAAAGTATAATTTCGCAAGGGATCTTACCAGGGCTTAAACCAATTAACTTATATCTTTGAGCCAGTATTTAGTCTATATAATGGAGTTGACAGGGCTTTAAGCCATTCAGAAACCACCGCTCTATGATTTATGGGCCTAAACTGGGTCCGACATTTATTCATGGGGGGGGGGGAGTAGTACGTAGTACGTACCACGGTACAGGCCTAAGTATTACCCCTCGAGGGTGCCTTAAAAGTTTAGTTTCCACTTTAAAACCCCTGTTTTCCCTACCCTCGAGGGGTAATACTTACGCCTGCGACGTAGTACGTACTACGTAGTAAGTGTTTGGTGACTGAAGTAAAGCCCCACTATATAAACACCTTACTCTCGTATCGCCAACATCCCGAAAAGCTTTCGTATTATCCCTACCCCTTACATATAATTAGCATAGATACAAATAATACTTTGTGGCTTATAAAACTCCGCACTGCGCCTGGCACGGAGTATAAGTAGAGACATGAGTACGCCAGAGGTTAGGGTCAAGTAATCGTCTACCTCTATTTTTTCCCACGTCGAATTACCTTTCCAGAAATAATGCTCAACATCAAGAACATCGCCGCTGTGACGGCAGTACTGTTGATCAGTATCGATGCTGCAGTCGCTCAGGCTGTAGGCTACAGCACAGGAGGAGATAAAAGCATCGACGTGAAGTTCCGCGCTCATGGCAAAAAATTCTTTGGTTGTGCATCTGATCAGTCGCGTTTGACTGTGGGGAGTACCGGCGATATTATCAAGGCGAATTTTGGGCAGTTGACGCCGGAGAATAGTATGAAGTGGGATAGTCTTCAAGGTACAAGGGATAAATTACGAAGATCTGATGGAAGCTAATGCAATGAATAAGGTACTCAGGGCCAATTCGACACGGCAGGCGCCGATTTTCTAGTTCGTTGCCCTCGATGCTCTGGACGGTGGGAAATGGAGGCTGATGATCTATGCAGGTTGACTGGGCTGTGGCGAATAAGAAGCTGGTTCGCGGACATGCTTTGGGTATGGTTCTCCAGAGATTGGGACTAGCACATTACCTGGGTGTTGGTGTCTAACATGCGTAGTATGGCATATTCAACTCCCTGAGTGGGTAAGCGATATGAACGACGCCAAAACGCTCACGACAGTGCTGCAAACACACATCTCGACGGTTGTGGGCAGATGGGCGGGGAAGATTTATGCTTGGGTAAGTCCTCCAAAGGCTTAGATATCAGAATATCACTAAAAGCATGCCTAGGATGTGGCCAACGAAATTTTTAATGAAGGTATGCCAGTTGTTGCTCTCGTTTGACACGTACTCGCACTTCAATTACCATACCATTCGATACGTCGGTAACTACGTTATTTGCAGCTGACATATCATGATACTAGATGGAACCGTGCGTACAACTACCGTGTGGGGTAAGGTTCTCGGCGACAATCTAATGCCTGTACGTACCAGCGCTCCATTTACTGATTGTTCATGACTATCTTGGGAAATTTCTCTTTACATCCCAAAGTCAAGCATATTAAGAAATCTTCTGATCACCCGGGCTCATAGATCGCTTTCGAGGCCGCCAAAGCTGCCGATCCAAATGCAAAGCTCTACATCAACGACTATAAGTTCGTCCTCCTTCCCAGATACCCATACCTCTATGTTCTGCACGACTGACAGAAAAAACCTATCAGTATGGACAAATCTGACAGCCCTAAGGCAATCGCCTTGGCCGCCCGCGTCAAGGAATGGCTGGCAGCCGGCATCCCGATCGACGGCATCGGCACTCAGGCCCATCTCTCTGCAGGCACGGGCTCGCAAGTTGCTGGTGCATTGCAGGTCCTTGCTAGCTCGGGCGTTTCGGAGATTTCCATTACGGAGTTGGATATAATCGGGGCTGCTCCTGATGACTATGTTGCCGTGCGTACTCCACTCAACCACCCTACTGCGTACCTGGCATCGTGTTCTCACCTACTAATGTGTCCCATCAGGTCACTCAAGCCTGCCTTGATGAACCTAAATGCGTCGGTATCACTGTCTGGGGTGTTCGAGACACGGTGCGTGGCCCCTTGTTTTGAATCTTGCTTTGTTGATGTGAAGTTGGGAAGCGAGAAATTGACTTACACGTGATGACAGGATTCTTGGAGACCGGGGAACACCCCGCTGTTATTTGATGAGAAATGGTTGCCAAAGCCAGCTTACGACGCTATCCTTGGAATTCTGTAAGGGAATTCTTGACAGAGAGTGATAAAATATTCGGCTTTCGTTCTTGACTGGGTGCTTGGTGGGAGGATGACAAGCTGGTCTTTAAACTACTCAAAAAGACATTCCAACTACTTCGGCAATGTGCCACAACTCTTGGAACACTTGTGAATTCTGCCCTGCTCCTTTCCGTGTTATCAGTCCAAAGTGCAGGAAAGCCGAGATCCAGGCCCCACTCTATATCTTTCTAGTCTCGGGTGTTCCAGCGTATTCTCAAGCTCTACAACCCCTAGATTTCCTTGTCCAGCTTAAATTTGAACTCTCCAAGGCCTCTGACACCAACATCAACCTTGAAGACTGCGCCGGCGTATGGCTTGGTCTCATCGTGGTCGTCAGCCGTGGTGACCCAGAGTTCCGTCCCAACGAACACAGGGCATGTAATGCATTTTGTGGGATAGGTGATCTCTCCCACGAGCTTTCCTTCTGGGGAAATCTTCAGAACCCGGCTCCCGCCATAGACTGCTTGCCAGATGTATCCATTGACATCTATCGCGAATCCGTCTGGGTCTCCGTCGCCATCATGCTGGTAGAACACTCGCTCGTTGCTTAGGTCTCCCGTGGCGCCATCAAAGTCAAATGCAATGATGCGTTTCTCGGTCGTGTGGGTGAAATATAATGTCTTGCCATCACGCGACCAGCCGATGCCGTTAGGAATCGTCAGGGAGGAGCGAAGTCTTGTCCGACTCAGGTCCGAGCCAAAACGGAAAATTGAACCTGGACTTATTAGTATTTTGGAAAAAATACATCTTGTTGGGGGATTCTGCTCTGGGGTCACATGGTTTACACTTGGAGGGGATAAACGACAGAACCAAAATCATGAAAAGAGACAAGATTGCAGACTCACCCTCCGCTTGGGGTTCTCCAACCCAAAAGTCGTTCATAGTGCCAATCCAGAACCGGCCCTGGGGATCAATCGCGCCGTCATTGCTCCTCAGCCTTTCATCCTTCTCCTCGGTATCGTAGAATCTCTTCAGCAACTCGTACTTCTCAGTTTCTCTATCGAGTATATACACCCCACTCTTCCCGCCGATCAGAATCTTCTTTGTGGGATCGACGCCTTCAATATCGGCTGTCACGCCCACTGGCATATCCAACTGTATCGTCTTTAGACTCTCGGGTCCAAGTGTCAAGTCGATTGTGTGCAGCTGGTTCTTGATGATGTCAACAAAGCGTAGTCGATTGTTGCTCTCTTCATAAAAAGGGCCCTCGCCAAGCGCGCAATGGAGGTCCAGGTATGGCTCCGTGACACTCCATGTCTGGAAGGATTGTGACATAGTTGATGGTTGATCAGCTGGTGAAAAGAATGAGATATTTAAATTCCACCTTGGAACTGAAATTTGAAAAAGAAGTTCTGTTGACTTCGAGGGGTTTGGTAGGGAACTGGCTCTGGTGAAGTCATAGTTAAAGCTGTGGCGGATCCTATTGTGGCGGCGGAACAGACGAACATAATCCGATGCAGAATTGAAAAGCGCCGATGCAGGACACGGGCTGGTGCAAGCAAGCGTGCCTGAAGAAGCATTAATGCAGATCTATTAGTGGGATAGGTTTATGCCTCAAGCAATCCCGAGTGCTACTCATCTGTCCATTCGATGGGAGATGGGCCTTCGTCCCGAACATATGCTCGATTTTCTTCAGAAATGTTGAACATATATTACAGTTTGATAAATATGTATGAGATACCTTCAAGCTGACGACTTGGCTTGCCTATTTCTGCATGCGTTCTGCGTCGTCTAATCAACAGGTTTGTTAATTTACTACGGCGAATAATATTTCTTCCCGCCTTTCTGTAAGACATCTCATGCAATGCGAGACAAGTTCTATCACTCCGTCAAACTTTTGCTGTTATCGACTTGCGTGTCCCCCGTTGCCTGATTGTAGGCCTGTTCTTCCTGTCAATAGGGGTTTTCAAAAGCCTACTCCTTCAATGTCCTAGAGTTTCTTTCTTATGAGCGTGACCGGGGACTTTTTCTGTCTCTTCATATAGTTTTTCTTACATGCCAACACAGTAAGCGAAAGAAAGAAAGCCTGGACTGATTCGTATGCGGTGCGTCTCTATGTCCATCTATTATAATTTATCTGGTCTGTTATGCGATGCCTAGTATCACATCTACGCTACGAAAGCATGCCAGAAAATGGCGAATGACAATTGGTAATTTGATTATTTGCTCAAGAACTTTCAAAAGTCAACCTTCAATTGCATTGAGTATATACGCTAGAGAAGAGGCTGCTTGCTAGGATGTACACATCCCTTGGGATATCAAGGACTCGCTGATTATCTTTTTCAAAAATATAATAACAAAATCAATCGTCGGCTCGAGTCTTAAAGGATGTAAGGAGGCCCACTTAAGCGAGCCGACGATTATTACAGTACAGCCCTAATAAATACCGCCTGAGGGTAGCTCAAAAGTTCACATCTCCACTTTAAACCCCCTTGGCTTCCTAACCCTTAGGCGGTAATTACCATGCCTAGGAGGTAGTAATTACCTCATTTGCTTGCTCATTCACACTCTACGGAATATCCGATCAGCCTGGTCCTTGTCTAAGATCATCTCCGCAAGACAAGCCCCCTTTAGACATTCTCTGCAGCTCCCTATGCCGTCTATCTATCCCTTGTTCCTCCTCCCGTCAGACGCAATCTCAAGACCCAGGAACAAATTATGGAGAGACGCCATCGCTAGCATTTCTAAATTAGTAGTAGTTAGTACTATCCGCCATCCTGGTCGCGTCGCCGAGCATGCGCTGCTCGAGGTTCTCCGGACACCCGAGACCAGGTTATCTCCCTGCGCATGCAGTTGGGACTGCCGACGACAACGTTGACTTCTTCCTCTCAGTCCCAGAACGCTTGCGGGCCAGAACGTGGTTAGCTGTTCCATGCTGATTTAGAGCCGCGTGGAAGGCGAAAAAATGATACAACTATGCAACTACTACACTCTCGACCGGGAAAGAGAGGGCCCTTTGGCCCCGGAGTCTGCGGAGAGCCGCTAAGAAAAGATCTCGTTTAGAGTACTCTATTCAAGGACACGAAAATACTCCGAGCCAACACGACATACTACGTACTACGTCCCAGGCGTAAGTATTACTCCTCGAGGGTAGGGTAATCGGGTGGTTTGAAGTGGAAGCTAAACATTTGAGGCACCCTCGGGGGGTAATACTTAGGCCTGTACCGTGGTATTGTTATAAGTAACCACGGTAATCTTCCTGAATTAAGAAAAGAAGATTGCAATACTTATAAATAATCCATATTTAGGATGATCTTCAATATATAGACAGGAAAAATGACTACAACAGTCAGTGCGCGAACTATTATTACCCGCACGATTATTTATAGCCGACGTAGAAATCCCGAATACTTCGTGAGAAAGAGATATAAAGACATGTATATTTCTTCTTTTGCAAAATCATCATACCATCTTGTCAGCTACAAAACACAATGCTTCAATCAAAGACTATCCTCGCGATCTTGCTAGCCTTGAGCTTTCTCTTCACTGAAATTCAAGGAGAAGGGAATAAAATCGTCATGGGCTATGCAACAGTCCCCGCAGTAAGTTTCACTTGACTTACATAGCATAAGCTTATATTAATTACGCGAATTACAGGATGTGGCTTATCTCATGAATCTACGCGAAAGGCCATATGTACCGAGATCCGATGAACTCACTCAATTAGGACCTGGCTTTTATCTGGGTAAGTTGATCCATATAGATCGTTACATATCATACGGAGTTAATAATTTAAATAGTAAACAAACCTGGCAACTGGAAGGGTAATCATGAAAGTCACTTTTGTGTTATCAGAGGGCTGGAGTCTCGGATACAAGAGACCGAGAAAGTCTATATCCCGAGATCTTATCACAGAGAGTCTTGGGAAGATTTTAATACCCAAAACTTATGGGGCGAAAAAGACGAATCAGTCATTTTAGAGTACATTATGACAGAGACATCGATAAAAGAGCCCGAGAAAGCGTTTCGCTTCTCGTGGGTTTTGGGTGTCGATTGGCAGTTGCGTATGCTTATTCCAAAGAATGTGGTAGATAGGGCTGGTTCGGATTTCCAGGCCGCATGCTATGAATCAGAAGCTGCAATGAGGGAAGATTCAGACGAGGTCGTTGATTGGATGTCTTGGGGGATTACAGGACACCCTGGACTACCGGGCAATTAGCATAATCAGAAGGGAGTGGCTCGTTCGTCTTTAACGCGATATAACAGAATGCAATATAACAGAATGTTAAAGATGCTAAATGTCTCACCGCTGCTTGAACGGTTTGGAGAGTGCCAGTTGGACCTAGAATCAAATTAGTAATTGCTATCAGATTGCTGTACCCAAACTTCAGTGTCTGGCCAAGCAATGCTCCTCTCTGTTATTTTACAACGTCTAGCGCACAGAAGGATTATATCGACGAAGCAACGTGACAGACCCTGGAAAATGCGAATGCAATACGAATCAGAGAACCGTGATCGTGTGGTTTTCTTCAGGTGTACTGACTGGCTATTGAAGAAATCTCACAGCCCAATGGGGGAGAGCATCATACTTCCCCAACCCGTGAGCCATTACTAACGTTGAAGTGCACTTTCTTGGATCGTGGTTCTTCGCATTCCTTTCCAGGAGTCAAGGTCAGGTGCCTCAACCCGCCTGCGTCCGTTATCGAGTCCTCATGCGCCATGTGGTAAGCTGCAAGTCACTAGGATCTGTATGCAGCTACCGTTCAATGGAAACGCGGGATGCCAATCACCTCCGTGCGGAACGCCTCATCCCATCTCTCGCTGCCCTGTTTCCGCGCGGTCCTTTACCAGTACAGTAGTGGCCGGACTGCCGGATGGTTCGCTGACAGCTTCGCCTAGGTACGTAGTGCCTGCAGATGGCCGCTTTCTCTGAACGGGAGTTCTTTAGGTTAAAATAAAATAACGGAAGAAAAAGTTGCTCTTAGCCTCTTATTCCCTCCTAGTAGTACGGAGGACTACCTAACTCCAAATAGTAGTAGTTGTACTCCGTATCATCCTGCCAATACCCCCTAGCGCGCTTCGCTCGGACCGATCCAGGATGACAAGCAGCTGGTCCAGACTCCTGATATCGAGGCTCGTCTGTTGGTTTGCACATCCGCAATTCTCGGCTGGAAAAAGTCTGTGGACCATCCTCGGAGAAGTTGAGTTGTTGCAGTACCTACGTAGTGAGAAGTCAGGCCGCGCCTGAGAGCTCTCCCTCTCCCGTTGCGTTGTCTGAGACTCTCGGCGGGAGCTGATCCAAGACCAAGACCAAGACCACGACGACCAAGACCCAACATGGCTGCAGGCTTTGCAGCCGCGCTAAGGTAAGCTCATGACCAGCTGCAAGCCTGCCAGGCTGGGCTAGGCTTGCGGTGAACCTACTCCTAAGCCACTTATTGATAATAGTAGTAGCAGTAGTAGTAGTAGTAGTAGTACTACTACTCTGTAGCTGTACTTCGGGGGCGACGGAAAAGGAAATTTAAATGACGAAGCCTTGAGCCAACGAGCTACTACTACCTAGGTAGGTAGTTAAGTTGTATTTCCAGCAAGCTAAGAACTCACTTACCTTCCCTTTTCATCACTCACCTGTTTCCGGACTCTGTACAGAGTAGTGCAGTGCAGTGTAGTGTAGTGTGTTCTTTGACCGACTTCAATTAGCCGGAATAGAGCCAGGAGAGGGGCAAACTCCACATCACCAACTAACTCCACATCCGGATCTCGTGATCTATCTCACGTGATATATCGATGCTCAACTTCAGCATCGGGATGTGTTCGGCTGGTACGCAGTGGATTGACCCATGCCGAACAACATCACATTTAGGTGTAGTCGTATCTTCACTACGAAACTACTTAGTGCAGCTCTGCCGAGATGAGATAGGAGGAGATAGCATCTGTGTAAGACTACGACTGAGATGTTTGAATCGCCAATATAGTATACTACTACTACCTACCTACTACCTACTAACTACTACCTACTACTACCTACCTACTACCTACTACCTACTACCTACTACCTACTACCCACTACCCACTACCTACTACCTACTACCTACTACCTACTACCTACTACCTACTACCTACTACCTACTACCTACTACCTACTACCTACTACCTACTACCTACTACCTACTACCTACTACCTACTACCTAAAACTAACTTCTACTTCAGCTAGCAAGGCTAGCCGGCCGGCCTGCCATCCCATGTCGAATCGGGGCACACATTTCATCCATCGCAGGGCTTGTTGTTCTCCCCGTGCCGCTCAACCTGCCGGATCCTGGTATCCCACGAGACTCCAGGTCGACCCGACCCACGCAGCCAGCAGGGTTAGAGAACTTGCTCCGTACAGTAAGTAGTAGTACTACTGTAGTAAGTAGTAGTACCTACCTACGTAGCAGGAGACCAGTTCAACTGCAGTCTGCAGAATGATGTCGGAGGACCCTTGCTTGCAGCTTTGCTCTTACTCCGTACCTCTTACTCTTTCACTCTCCCATTTTCCAACCGTTTTTGTTTACATGATATTTAGCTCTCTGTCCACGTCCCTTGGTAATGGGGATGTTCGGATTTGTGGGGTGGAAGAGCATAGCCTTAGAATTACGACTGTATCCTGCTTCCTTCGTCTCAATCACCTACCAGCGCGAGTCGTAACCCACTACTCCGTACTGGAGGGCCCACTGCAAAACGGTATGGACTGAAATGATTCTCGCGCGTCGGTATGAAGCAGCGCAAAATTCTCATTCTACTTGTAATCTTCTCTCTTTCCTAATCTTATCGTTATTGCGACTACTTCTAGAGCTACAGACCGATGTTCACACGCATAGCGGCCCAAACACACCATTGGTACCCGACGCCAGTTATGTACAACTACTGTAAAAATTGGTAGCTTCTTTTTCATCAACTGAAACGATTGCGGAAAGCCAGATTGTCAGAGAGAGGTTCAATGGTTATTATCACGACGATAACTACTTCCAGTCTACTACCTAATTTGCTTTCGCTTCTCAAGTAAAAAGAAACCTTCATACCTGATGGGCAAAGAAAAGAGCGTGTTGGGCGTGTGCAGTACGATCCCGGATAAGCGATCGGCGAGCTTCTTAAAGAGAACCAGACTGATCTGAGTCCCTGAAACAACGAGGCGGCGGCGATCTGACAGGAGGGGAGGCGCGTGTTTTCTACATACTAGTTCCTCTTTAGGCCATTAAGTGTCAATCAAACCTATCCGCCGCTGGGGGCTAAGTACGGGTATACGTAGTACGTTGTCTTGTATCGGTGATTAATCCCCATGACCCGGCAAAGAGTGTTATTGATGTCTTGCTTTAAATAAAGTCAATTATCCAGGACCAGTTCCTGGTACGTGCTCTCATCACGCTCGTATACGGAGGGAAGCCGGAAGGCTGCCATAGAAAGAAATGCATGGCTTGCTTGTTCTTGGAAAGCAAAACCGAGGCCAAAAGTGTTGTAATGAAAAAATAATATTGCCGGCATCTGTATCAGGGTATAAGCGTTCAATAATTCAAGCATAAGAAACCTTTTTCTTATCTGATCCTGTACAACTTTTTTTGTACTATTTAGTACTATTTAGTACTATTTGTTTTGGTGCATAGCTTTGGATGCCGAAGAAAGCCCGTCAGTTGGCTCTCCGCGATGCTCCGTGACGCTCGCGACAGCACGACCAGGTTGGACTTGCGCATCGAGATCCTCCTCCTGTCTATCTATCGGTTTCTGTAGTATAGCAGGACAAGACAGCACCGAGAGCGGGCATGGTGAATGGTGATGATGAACGGTGATATAAAGTTACCAGCCTGCAGGATAGGCTAGCGCTGCACTGCACGTACGGTGGGATTATGCAGCACGATACTAGGTATACGTTACCAGGCGCCAGGCGGACCTTATCCACTCTGAATATGCATGACGAGGAACCAAGACTGCCGACGACAACAAAAACAAGAGCAACAACAACAACAACAACAACAACAACAACAACAACAACAACAGTAACAACAACAACAACAAGCCGGATAGGGAATGTGACGACGAGAGATATTCTCAAAAGGCAGCCAAATAAAATATCTGTTATTATACCTATATATAATATAAATATGTATGAATATACGTAGTAAGCGTGATGATGGACAGCCACTCCTGGTCAAGTACAATCTACTACTACTATAAAGTCTGGTAAGTTGTACCGTGGTGGACATCACCGGACTAGGTCCATCGTGGCTTCTAGGTTCATCCATGCAGGATCTACTACTACGCTCCCGTAATCTGTCAACCATGCGAGCCGTCGTTCCGCAGGGTGGTCGTCGCCATCGCCATTGCTACCGACATTGAAATCAACAAGAATATCGACATCCACAGGCACAGGCACAGGCACAGGCACAGGCACAGGGACCAGCACCAGGGTCGCATGCATGCAGATGGCCATGATGAGCCTGGAGCAGCGGCGCCGTCAAAGGGAGTATAGTATAGTAAGTATAGTAAGTATAGTATAGTAAATTTCACACTTCTCCAACTGGCCCCCGGTACCTTGGCCCGTCACTACTTACCAGTAATGTCGAGTAATTACTGTACTGTACAGCAAACTTCTAGGGGTATCAATCGATCTACTCTAATAAAGTAGGTACTCCGTACTCTACAGTACCCTACGGACTGCTCCACTGCTCCGTACGACCAGGGCTGGCAATCAGCCTTCTAGCACCCCAGCGTGCTCCACTCTCTTAAAGCTAAAGACTATCGAGTACTACGGAGTCCTTCCACTATACAGTACAGTACTGTACTTCCACCATCCTGGAAGGGGTCCAAAGGTCTGTGGGTAAAAGAGGCATGGGGACCCAAAGAGCAAAAGCTTGGGGGTTCCCAAACATTACTGGGCTGCATGCCGGTTGCCGCTGAGGTCGTCCTCGATCTCTTGTTCTCTTGTCCTTTCTTGCTTCGACCTGACTGACCGGGCCGTGGCAGTTTTGTCAACAACGTCCTCCAGCTTCCAGTTCCAGCTCCCAGCTTCCAGCCTTTCGACCTCCAACCATCCGCAGCTGTACAGGACATTATTCGAAAGACAACCTAACCTACAGCTCTACCTCTTACTCTCCCTTCACTTCCATCCCCTGCCCTTACCCACTACTCCTCCTCTCCCTCTGCCTTCTCCTCCAGTCGCGACGATTGCCCACAATTCTGGTGCGTGAGTGGTTCGTCACCCACAGCCCCTCCCAGTCAGTCCCTTCGACACCACTGGTTCCCCCCCCCCCCCTCGATACTCCCATTATTGCTGCGCAGTAACTAATATCCAATGGACTGTCCTCCAGCGTCCGGCTGCTTTTGCTCCCCAGAATTTTGGTCCACTTCCTCAACTATCTGTTGATGGTCGAGCTGCTCCGGATCGACGTTCATCCTACCGCAACACAGTAACATCGAAAGAATCTTTTACTTACAACAAGTCATCCATCCACATTGGTCCTGGATCAGGAAAACCAATACATCATTGAACAGCTTGGTACAGCGCATCATCATCAGTCAGCGCTTGAAAATTCTTATCGAGTCAACACGAGCCACCGCCGAGACTCTGAGTACAGTAGCAACTGGACCTGACCTTCACCGCTACTGAAGGCTTTTATCGGGGAGCTCAGTTGACCGTTCACTATTTCGATCTGGCTGTACAGGACTTTTTTAGGCCTCCGTCGTGTGAGGGCCAGAGTGTCGTTGCCGTTGCAGACGAAGTCCAGACATCGCGAACGCTACCTCGACAACCCGAAAATCCAGAGGCCCTTCTCCAAAGACGGCTTTCTAACTTTGCAGTAAAGCTCCATAGCTATCAGCAGGGCTGGGAAGGAAGTGGGAAACGTCAATGTCCCGGTCCTGGGGACCATCCAGGGTTGAGGGATCAGGACTCGATGTCGCAGAGGCCTTCTGCGTCTCGTCCTGCATCTCGGTCACCGCCACAAGGTCAAAGATTTGTTCTACCGCCTGTGCAGTTTCGAGATAACTTTTTACAGGAGGGGAGACAGCCTGAAAGTCGGCAACCCGACCCTGAAGGTAGAGTCTTTCCCCAGTATCTACAGACCTCCCCGCAACATGCGCGGCCCTCCCAGGGGCCGTCATCTGGAGAGGACTGGAGAACATCGAGACAATCCAGGGATCTCGGGGTCCACTCCATACTAAACCCGCCGGAACCCGAGGATGGTGGAAGCTCGACTCGTCGAATGAGTAACGCGACGAACGAATCTCCTAATTCCGCAGCTGGCCCGCCGTTGACCTTTGGTGCAAGTCCATCCGCCGCGGCGTCACACACGTTTTCTGGTCAGCAGTTTCTGCCGGGGCCAGGAGAAGAACTGCGCAGTGGAGCATATTCTCAAGTTCCCCGACGAATTCTGACTCCGAGATCGCCATCAAGCCGAAATTCGAGTTATGGGAGAGGAATGGGCGTGGGAACCATCGATGCTCAGCAAACCCCCTTCCTGCCTGCGAAAGGACGAGCCTACGTGGCGGAGCCAGTTCCACATGCGTCTTCGGAGGTCGCTTCCATGCCGACGCCTTCTGGACAGCAACAGCAGCATCAACAGCAGCAACACCAACACTATGGGTTTCCGCAGGCAGCTTCAGCACCATCTAATGCCCCTCGTGGAACCAGCGGGGGTACTATGCAGGCTCCTGGCCGCACGCCGCTATCACAGAGCGCGAGTCCTAGCATTTCGGCTTCTTCACAAAATCCTTCATCGGGTCAGGCGTCGCCAGCATCATTTCTCTTCCGTAAAGGGGCACAGACGACGCCTCAATCCGCCTCGAGTTATTATCCGGGCTCGTCATTCGGGACAGCTATACAGGCGGGAGGTGGATTGCAATTCCAGGGGCCCTCTGGAGTACCTGAAGGTCCGTACTCTGCTCCAGCTCCTGCTACAAAAAGCAATTCCCTCCAACCCAGCAGTGCTAGCAGCTCCAGGCAGAATTCTACCTCAGATCCTATTCAAGTCCTGACAATAACCACGTCTGAAGGCTCGTATACTGTACCTGTAGACGTACATCAGGCCTCGAGGTTAGCTGACGAGAAGCGTGCTCGAAATGCAGGTGCATCGGCGCGATTCCGTCAACGTAGAAAGGAAAAGGAGAAGGAGGCCAGCACGAGCATCGAGAAGCTGCAGCAGCAAACGCGGGATTTAGAGCGGAAAATGAGGGACGTGGAACAACAACGAGATCGGTATCGGCACGAGAGAGACCGACTGCGCGACATTGTCTACAGGAGTCCCGATATCAGACATCTGGCCATGCAGGGACCACCCAGCCCCCAAAGCATGCGACCTGGGCCGTCCCAGGGAGCGGGGATGGGAATGGGAACAGGAACAGGAATGGGTCAATCGGGTAGCCCTCCTGCCCCTCCCCCTCCACCGGCTCAAATGGGATACCAGGCCTCCGAGAGCACGTCGGAACGTGCGCCGAGAAGAAGGAAGACGGACCCGCAGGGTGAATACACCGGCTTAGCTTACTCGCTCCCACCGGCATCAACACTTCCTCCAGTCCAAGAGCCTGGGTATCCCCCTACCTCAGGAATCCAAGGCCCGCCAAGCCTTCCTCCTTTGCGAATGGACAACCCATCTGCGCCGCGAACTCCGAACACAAACATCCCTCCTTCCACCAGTGCTGGCCCTCAACCACCATTCGAACCCTACGCGCGAGGATACGAGCGCGGATGGCCTGGCGATGCTGGGCGCCGATGAATGTACAGCCCGCCTGGTGTCGCGTAGTACGCCCAGAACATCGAGACACCAAACTCATCATAATCTTTATCAAAAAAAAACATGGCCAAAAACATGGCCTTGCTAAGCGAGCGCTAGTGTTCTCCCTCGACCATAATCCAATGTATCTTCATTGTATATCACCTACTTAACATATTTCATAAACTACTCTCGTCGTCATTATTGTCATTGGGGAGCGGTTTCGAAGAAGAACAAAATTGGGCGACCAAACACATTCATACATATTCTAATTTTGAGCGACACAGCGACTTTATACCCTGGAGGCACGAGCAGCCCCCTCTGATCAACATCATCGTCATACCATTTCTTTTACAATTTTTTTTATTTGTTTTCGAATCTTGTGGATATACCTCTTACTATTCGGCCCTTTCGAACAACTGTCTTCTTTTGCTTTGTTGCTAAAGCATGGAGTTCTGCTAGGGCGGCATATCTGGAGCAGAGGAGGTGTGGACTCGGGGTTCGGAATGGGAGTCTCGGTGGGTGGGGGGGAAAGGGGATTTTGTTCATATGAGCTGGGAACGGAGGATTTAAAAGAGCACCTGGACTGGCTGAGCAGGGTGGTTTCAGGACATTGTACAGAATTAGAGGGTATGGGACGGCGGGTATACATAGAACCAGATTGTACGAACAGAGATATAATTTGACCGGGGGTAGATGAATGGCCTTCTCGCATTTTTGGGGAGAGGGGGAGGGGGAGGGTAGTTGTTCAATATTTTTTCATATCAAGGATAGATGAAATTAAATTAATGAACGGAAATTGGGAAGGATTGTCTGATATTAGGAATCTATTGAGATTTTATAACGGGCTTGAATTGCTTTGCTTTGCGATAGATAGTATCAAGATGGTGAGCTAAGAGCTTTCTCTCTATAAGCTTTCTTCAAGCTTCGGACTAGCTGGGAACCCAGCTTCCAATACGTGGTAATTGTCTGTATCATATGCGGGCAACCGCTTCTTAGAGGATCCGGCAGAAGTACACAGAAGTATCAACAGTATAACAGCAACAGCAGCAACAGCAACAGCAGCAACAACAGTGACAGTGATCGTTACCCACCCCCACCCTCCACCACAGGTCTTACACTGCATTGCATTGCATTGCATTTCCAAACGATCATACATCAGTTATCTTTCGTCCCCTCCATTCCAATGTTCCATCCACACCTCTCTCTCCTTCTCCCTCTCCCGCCGCTCCTGCGCCGTTCGGTATTCCAGCAGATCAGTCGTGCCTGCAACCAACGTCCACAACTGCTGAGAGCTGCTCCCTCATCACGTCCTGGCTGCCATTGCCCTTTTGCAGCACCCGAGATACACGGCTATCGATCTCTCAGCAGCTCCCCCCTTAAAATGTCTGACCTCTCCGTCGAGCTCACAGCTCCCAATGGCAAGAAATACTCTCAGCCAACAGGCCTCTTCATCAACAACGAATGGGTGAAGAGCAGCAACGGCCAGAAGCTTACCTCCATTAACCCCACGTATGCTGCTCCCAGAAATATTGCACCATGGAAATTCATAGCTAACTCTCTTCTAGCGACGAGACCGAGATTGTCGATGTGTATGCTGCCACTACCGAAGATGTTGATACAGCCGTGGCCGCTGCGCGCAAGGCTTTCAAGGATCCTTCGTGGCGCGACCTCTCACCCACCGACCGAGGCAACATGATGATAAAGCTCTCCGACCTGTGCGACGCAAACAAAGATATCCTCGCCACAGTTGAGACTTGGGATAACGGAAAGATATACGGAGACTCACTAGGAGACGTCGCAGAAGTTGCTGGGGTTTTGAAGTACTATGGAGGCTACGCAGACAAGATTCACGGACAGGTCATCGATACCGGGCCTGCTAAGTTCGCATACACAATCAAGGAGCCGGTTGGTGTCTGCGGGCAGATTATCCCCTGGAACTATCCTCTAGCGATGGCGGCATGGAAGATTGGTCCAGCGCTGGCCTGTGGTAATACGATTGTCATGAAGGCTGCGGAGCAGACTCCTCTGAGTATTCTGGTTTTCGCAAACCTGATCAAGGAGGCTGGCTTCCCCCCCGGAGTAGTCAACATCCTCAATGGCCACGGCCGTGAGGCTGGTGCTGCTATTGCTACCCACTTGGGCATTGACAAGGTTGCGTTCACAGGAAGTACTGGCACTGGAAAGGAGATTATGAAGATGGCTGCGATCAACATGAAGAATATTACTTTGGAGACTGGAGGGAAGTCGCCATTGCTCGTCTTCGAAGATGCCGATTTGGATCAAGCTGTGAAGTGGGCACATATCGGTAGTTTCTTCTCTGTAATTCTAGGGCTCGGCGCTGACACTCCAAGGTATCATGTCCAATCAAGGACAAATTTGCACCGCGACCTCCCGCATTCTCGTCCAAGAATCTATCTACGATAGCTTCGTTTCCGCCTTCAAGACGCACGTGCAGAAGGTTTCCGTAGTCGGTGACCCATTCGCCGAGACCACCTTCCAAGGTCCTCAAGTCACCAATTCTCAATACGTGCGTATCCTTGGCTATGTCCAGGCTGGTAAGGACGAAGGTGCAACTCTCCTGACAGGTGGTGAGGCTTTCACTTCCGGTCCTACACCCGGCAAGGGCTTTTTTATCACTCCGACAGTCTTCACGGGTGTGAAGCCCAGCATGAAGATCTTCAGGGAGGAGGTATTTGGCCCATTTGTTGTCATTGCCAGCTTCAAGACTGAGGAGGATGCTCTGGAGATGGCAAACGACACCACGTATGGTCTTGGAAGTGCTGTGTTCACCCAGGACCTCACTCGTGCTCACCGAGTTGCGAAGAACATTGAGGCTGGTATGGTGTGGATCAACTCGAGCAACGACTCGGATTACAGAATTCCGTTTGGTGGTGTGAAGCAGAGCGGTATTGGACGCGAATTAGGAGAGGCGGGCTTGGCGGGATATACCCAAATCAAAGCGGTTCACGTTAACATGGGCAGTAAACTGTAGTTTGGTGGATTTAACGATCTTTGGGAGTCTGATGCAGGGAATTCGGAAGCGACGATTTTTACGAACGGATTTTTTACACTTTCGGTCCCCCTCTCAGCTTAAGATTATCCAAGGCAGTACATGACCCAGGTGCGGTAATCAAAGTCAGCGTCAGATCATTAATGGCGGGTACTCGGTGTTATTTTTCTGCTCTCTCCGATTCATATGATCATCGTCATGGATGGTAACCCGGACTTTGCTAAGGAATAGCGATCTTCCACGAGTTCTGCCTGCACTTCAAGAGGTCGCAACCTCCTAGACAAGAAAAAAAAGAAAAAGAAAAAAAAAAAGAGAGTCACTGAAATTTATCACTGAAATCTACAACCGCACCGCACCGCACCGAGCGGGGGTTTTCACCCGCACCCGCTGTTATCTCTACTTGACCACACTGTTACATACATTGGCATTTCCTGCTGGGCTACCACCATCGGACTTGTCCTCGAGAGGTCGCCGTTGAGATCTTCACGTGGCGACCGCCGCCGTGAAACGCATTGCATCTCATCTCGATCCGTGCCCGTCAGGTTTTCCATTCGCAAAGCGTCGACCGATCGAGTCTCGAGCTTGTGACGAGAGGAGTTCTCTCTCTCTCTCTCTCTCTCTTGAAATTGCTCGAGGATCTCCTCGTCTCTCTCTTGCAGAATCATCCACATCCCAGGATAGATTCGTTCTGCAACCGGGTCCTGGAACTAGGCGAGCTTGTCAGGAGCTGGACGGACGGACGACTGTTGGGTAGAGTCAGATGGGGCATGCATGGTAAGTAGTATATCTATGGTCTAAAGCTAGGTGGTCTCTCTCTCTCTCTCTCTCTCTCTCTCTCTCTCTCTTTCTCTTTCCTGCTGCCAATATGCCTCTGTTGAAGAGAAGGAGGCGAGAATCTACGGAAGCTAAGGTAGTAGTTATCTCCCGAGCTTCACTTTACTTTACTTTCCTCTGCAGACGTGGCAGGTATGTGGGGTGTGTAGGAGGTAGGTAAGGCTTGACGACTCGTGATCTCTCTTGTCTTCAGGCAAGGCATTCTTGTTAGAGTGACCGCCTACATTTGGAATAGGTAGGTATTCTTTCCCTTTTGTTTTCTTCGTGCAAGAAGGTAGAAAGACAGTGAGCTCGGTTTGTGGATAGGGTGGCTTTGAAGGCGGCTATTGGGTATTTATCTATCTGTCTATGTACCTGCTCATTATTAGAATCGGTATTAATATCATGGCTCTTACTAGAGATTTATGTGAATGGCCCACAAAAGTTCAAAGGCAGGTCAGAACACAAAGGTCTTCGACTTGGGATATGTAATCGAGGACGTGTGTGTGTGAAGAAGCTGGGTAATTAATTAAACCCAAAGCTGGTCGTCTGATTATATTCTCATATAAATGACCGCCTTAATCACACTCTGGAATAGCAAGAAGGTATCACATTACCATGGCGCTTCTTACCATCTCAGTTGCTGCTGCTACACGAATTTCAATGCAGAATTACAGAACATATCCTGCTCCACCAGCAATAGCCCAATCTCTGACTCCCCTCCCTTCCTCAAGTTCTACACACCACCAGAGAACTTCTCGGGCTTTGTCGGGCTGGCCACCTTCCTCGTAGGCTCGAGAAAGAGCGAACCAGGCTTCACTGTAGTTCCATCCCGTACCGAGTTTTGTCAAAGCAGTAAGGAGCCCATAGGCTCTGTCGCGGGCTGCAAGACGGTCTAGGAGAGCAGTGGACGCTTCTCTGTAGCCGCGCTGAACTAGGCCAGATGAGATGGGATCGGGGGTAGCAGCTTCTATGTGGCTATCGGTGGGGTTTGTCACAGGCCTTGCGGGAGAAAGACCTAGGGGTCCACTTGGGCGTGAGGGAAGGGTAGATGAATGTTTGTGAGGAGGTGGCTGAGTCGTCAATGGGGTCGAGGATATGGATGAGGTATTGAGGGTGGAGGAGGAAGGTATGTCCAAAGGGCCCGGAAGAACAAGACTTGGAATAGCAGGTGGCGGAAGAAGATCTTCGGTGTAGATATCCAGAAGAATGTTGGATAGGCCCACAATGGCCGAAGGGTGATCTGCGAAGTGTGTGAGGGCAGTTTCGAAAAGCGCGAGTGCACTGTACGGATCGCTTTCTGCAAGAGCCAGATAGCCGCGCTGATCAAATTAGTAAACCGATTTGTTAAACGCAGCAAATATGAAACATACCTCAGCGAAGACATCACCCCAAAGTTGCTTTATACTTTTGCCACCTCCCCATCCTGCTTGGCTTATAGAAAAGCTGCCTGTCGTGTCATTTGACACATCTGCTTCGGCCTGTCGAACCAGATTCTCAGCTTCCTCGAGGGCTCCTTTTGAATCTTCATACATTGATGCACGACGGTAAAATCCGCTAATGAGAAGCCAGACCTTCACCAAAATGGCTATTCTGCGTCTTCTCTCCTGGTTCTTCGAGAACCGGGTCACGGGCGTCGTCGAAAATGCGTAAGGAGATGCCTTTGATAGGCGAACACCTTGTGAAAAGCCCTGGGTTGTATGGGCGGCTTGCAGTGATGGCTCTATTTGTGTTATCTGATGCGCATTAGGAGGCGATTGTCGTGGGTTACTCGATTTATTTGAGCTTTTTATAGAAGTAGCACGTCCGAATTTTCCTTGTCCTTCTCTAGAAAACGTTTGGTCGTGTACTTGGGAATCCGCTGGAGGGCCGAAAATGTTCTCGTCGTCTACAGCGCCATAGACATTCGCCCCACTACCATCTCGCCTGCTCGCTTTGCTGATGCTCCTGGTTCTATTCGTCACGGTTTTTTTCGAAAGACTATCGCTCCGCTTTTTCAGCTTCTCGTTGTGTTGCTTCGCTGCACTACCGGTGGCATTAGTGACCTGGATTGTCGGGGCAATGCCTCCAATCGTATGGGTGGTTTGTGGCCTCGGAAGGGAGCCAGGTGTCTCGTTGATCGCCGATGCACTTATCTGTGTCTTTCGAAGTGATCGCCCGAAAATACTGCCTCTACCACTTCTGATTGTCCCAGCATGAGTTTGAGGTGCCACCAAGGCTGTAGTAGGTAAGGCCAAAGGCGCCGAATCTTTCGAGGGATCACCAAAAAGCCTGGTGAACAAACTCAGAAGCTCATCGCTGGCGTTTACTGCAACCTCCGGGCCTTCAAGCACTTCAATAATTGCGAGTTGGGTTAATTTCACCTCCAGAATGCCCTCTTTTTCGAAATCATCCATGTCATCGACAACACCCTGCTGACTTGAACTTGAATTTTCGTTCAAATGAGCACTCCTATACGTGCCGTTGAGATTTGGTTCGCCGAAAAGAGATTTTGAGTCTTGGAACTGTTCAAATGCACCCTCACAAGACCTCGCAGCGGTGGCAAATTCATGCCGAGCACTGAGCAGTAAAGCCATAAGATGCCATAGTGGTATCAATGATCGCTCTCTGGCGAAGCGTCCGGGATGCGGGCCCAGAAAATTCGCGGCGTCGGTGGATGAGCGTCGCATTAAACCAGTTTTGACCACTTCGATAGCAGCTGGCAGTTCTCTCCGCTCAGCTAGAATGGTGCCTAAAGCGAACAGGGTCTCAACATCTGCCGTACTCTCATACTGTGGAAGAAGAGCGTTACGAAGACATCTGATCGCATGCAATTGAATGTCAGATCTGGATGGTGCTTCATAGGTGAATCGTGCCCATTGAGCATAAGAGATTCCAATGGAGCGCCATGCTAATGCAAAGATTCTCGGTGAGACAGGATTGCTCGGTTCCGCGGTTTCTCGGTTCTCGAGTATATGGTCATGGCCATGCCGTTGATCAATCGGGTGGTGTTTATCCAACCAACCTTCAAAGAATTGGCCAAGTTCCTTTGCCTTCTCTGCACCGTCATGTGAGCCGTATCGACACAACGCCTTGATACATTCAGACATTGCCTTCAGTACGGTCTCGTCGTCATCAAGTCCATGCTCCGGCTCCCCAGTCTTCTCGACCCGAGCCTTGCCTTTCTTGACAATATCGAGATACGTATCGAATGCTTTGAAAGCCAGGTCAAATTCTGCCACAGCAAGATGAACGGTAAAAAGATGGCGTAAAATTGCCGTGGAGTGGAATGTCTTGGTTGCAGCCCGGTAGAGAATGTCCAGGACACCTCTACTAACCGCTTCGGCGCCCCCCTCCCCAAGATCATGCTCCCTCCAGCCACTGCCACATAGGATGCGCCAATTCTGCATAGCTATTTCTACGAAGGTCTCGACCTCTTCTCCAGCCTCATCAGCTTTGGGGAACTGGACCTCGCTCAGTAGCAGTGTCTCATATTTTGCCTCCACTCCTTTCAACTCGGCTCTTTGCTGGAGTCTTGTAGAAGTTTCAACATAGGCAGTTGTGAGGGCTGTGGTTGGAAACGGCAAGTCCTGCTCCAGCAGATCCGAAATTGTGATGTAGTATTCCTTCCAAACCAGCCTTCGAGAGACTTCAGCTTGCGGTGCCTGGCCCCCTGTGGGTACCGAGCCTTGAATCTCCCAAAATCTTGCCCATGCCCTGAATGCAGATAGTGTCTCGGTCTCCAAGAGGGACGAGACCTTCGACTTGACAGCCTGGCTGGACAGGACGCAGAACCCTGTCAAGTATAATTCTGTCCATAGTCGAAGTTCCTTTCCTTGCTTTGGGCAGGAAAAAACGCTCCACAGTAACGGAAGCCCCGATTCGAAAGTGTCCAGCGCATCCATAATAGCACCTCCTCTCCCCTGGGACTGTCCTTTAATATAAGATGCCTTCAGAGCACATACTTTCGTCCATTCTCCGGATTCCTGGTTGGTACCATCAAACTGCGAAAACTTCTGCTCAATATTCTTCGGAAGTCTCGCAGCTGCTAGTGACAGCTCCCCCAATTGCCAATGTAACCAGCCCAGACAAACTTGCGCCTGGAATCCATCCTCCAGAAACGTCTTCTCCTGCTCGATAGCCTCTAACAGCAATGGTATGTGACGAGAAAAGCTCGGAGATTGGGAAGAGCCGCCAGTTGCAGAGGTATTAGGTCGGGCGGTACTTAGGTGATGAGAGGCTTGGGTAACTTCATATTCGGATTCTGCGGTCAATGCCAGGCCTATCAACAGCTATTAATTCATAGTCCGAAGCTTGTCTGCGTCGGTAAGAGAAAGAATCTCGGGATTCCCTGGCGAATGAATATACGTACAGGCCCGCTGAGGCGCATGTTTCCTGACCTTCCTCACCAACTCCGGCACGGCTTCCCAATTCCCCTCGCAGCGGGCGTCGTCTAGCTGCTGGATATATTGGGCGGCCTTAGTTTTTTCGCGCTAGCCATTGAGCGTTAGTATTGCAATTATTTGTTCAGAGTGATGCGGACAGCAGGCAAGATGGACGTACGCTCATTGTTGGGACTTGGATCTGGTGTGGTGCCAGGGTGGTTCTGGATTTCAGAGGCACGCAGTTTGAGTGGCATGGTAGATCAGCAGGTACATGTTCGCATGTTGGTGACAGTAAAGAGGAAGGCGATAGTGAAGAGAAGTCGACGATCAAATACTCATGGCAAATAGGTAAATGCTGGGCATGAATTCTGGGGTGTCGGGGGTTCAATTTCTGGTGACGCGGGCCAGGGCAGATTGGATTTAGGAGTTAAGGGTGTCGTCTTCTCCGCCAATCAGCGACGGATCATCCGTCTCGCGAATTGAATATTCACTTACTCAGCAGCACATCAGGACCGAGCGACAGTTTCTTGCCTCGAAGTATTTTCCATTCCAAATTGAGTTGACAAGACCAGACAAAACCAGACCAGACTCAGGATTTGCCATTTTCCGATCCATCGAACCTTTGCTTTTCAAGAGGGCGGCAATACCCTGCATCAGAAAAATCCAAAGCATTCTCGCCTTTGTGTCCTGCCTCAGAAGAAAAAAAGAGAGAGAAAAAAAACATCCATCCCAAGATCATTCCCGGAGATCTCCAGTCCGTCCAAGCATCAACGACGCAATTTTTTATTTTTATTTTTATTTTTGGAACTGAGACTCCTCGTTTCAACGTATGGCATGTCTTTTCCCTTCTGCTCATAGCAAACCTGGAATTTTTCTGTGCTGATGATAAGTCTCGCAGTTCTTTTGAGGGTAGCCTCTGAGCCAACATCAAGACAGCATAGACAAGATCGCTGTGATGTCTCTTCCTCCAGAACTAAGGGTTCTGTGCTTCCAGCTCTCCTCCACTCCACCTACTGATCTTCCTCGTCTTTTACCGACGCTTCTTAGCCATGTTTATCGTTGTCAAGTCCCTCTATCCAGCCCGGCCGGCAATGCCACCCAAGCAGATGCATCTGCGTCTTCTGTTCTTGTGCACAAGCTGAAGACGCATCTCTCTAGCCTGCTCAACGGGAAGAGCCTCGAAGGAAGATTCACCGCCGTTGTTCTGATCAAGGCTGTGGTCGAAGTTGGAGGATGGGAAATTTTGCAAGGTGCCGAGTCATGGGCTCGAGGGCTACTTACTATCCTTGGAGTTAGATACCCTGTCAGCTCGTACTCATGGAATTCTGCTGACAATGATGAAGAAGCCAGACTCTGCTGCAGTCAAGGAGCTTTGTATCATGACACTCAGCAAGATATATTGCATGACTCAGCAGTACCAGACTCTCATCCGGGAGATCACCACCCCCACGTTGCCGACCTTTGTAACTTCGTGCTTGAACCTAATCTCGGCCTCTTCAAAAAAAAGCCAGGGTAGACCTTCATCTCTCGACGAAATCATTTTCCACTCATTTGCCATGCTTTTACCTCGTCATACTACCATCTTCCGTCCTTTTGCTTCACAAATTCGTGTTGCTACTCGTCCTTACCTTGCACCTACGATGTCTGATGGGTTCTACGCATCGCAAGCTCTGAGGGATAGTGCTCGACGACTCGTCGTGGTTCTCCACCAAACTGCAGCAAAGAACACGAGCGCAGAGGAGTGGAGTAGAGCTGTGCGTGAGCTAGTCACAGGCATACACATGACTGCCGATTGTGTTTTTCGCGCGGTCGTCGAGGACTGGGAATCTACCGCCGGTCATGTCAGTGCAGCTATCGATGTCAACCAGGCACTAGCTGGGGGCTCGGCGACCGCTGAAGACTTGCCTTCGTGGACCGGCATTTATGCTGGGGTGGAACGTCTGACCGGAAGACTTGAGCTTTTAACAGAGTATATCAAGACCGAGACATCTGCACCTGTCACTATGCCTCTGGGAATGATCATGGATCTCATCACCAGAATGCTGTCCATCGCCATTCCATCTTCCGATCCTTCGGCTGGATACAGGGGCGCACGCCTCCACCCTGCCATAGATCGTGACGAGAGAGACGGCTTGTGGACTGGCATGCCTCAGATATATGTTGCTGCATTGAAACTTGTCGATACAATTTCTATGAGGCTGGAAAACGGGTTCTTGCCTTTGGCACTAGAGAGCTTTGACCAGCTAGCCTGGGCTTTCGAATATGGCAAGCACAGCCCAGAATTTCGCTCGATTGCATATGTCGTTACTGCCAAGATCTTGGTTCAAATCGGACAAAGTTTCAACCGAGCCCAATGCGATAAGCTCGTCCCCATCGTCCAGTCCTGTTGTCGAGACTTGCAAGAGGCTCATCCAAACTTTACCGACGCTGCTATTGACGATGCTGGAGCCAAACCACAGAGAAATTCAAGTACTGATACATTTCTACGAACTAAGGTTGCTATATCTATGGAGCAGAGTGCTAACGACTCTGATGTCGCTGCCGCTGCTAAAGAGCTACTTCCATTGGTACTATCTCATCTGCCTCAGTCATACCTGAGTCTCTCTATGCGAGCGCTAGTTGATCGAACCTCCATCCTCACCCACGATAAAGACGCTATGTTAGCGAGCATTTTGAATCCAGCTATTGCAAGGAACGGGGCAGCTTTACCTAGCATACTACCCCACCTGACAAGAGAATTCGGTCATGACGCTGTCGTTGAAATCTTGCTGCGGCCACGCATGCCCGTCATTCCTTCCACGGCCAGGCATACATCTGTAGACGGCGCTGTGGATGAGGGCGTTGAAGACGAAGAAATGAACTTGCATCCCGACTCTACCTCGACTCATCAAGACTCAAGATCCATGCCAAACTCCACACACCCAGACCCCTTTGCTGCGTCCTCTCAACCAGGACTAGGCTCTGCTACCGATATGCCTGTCGGCCAATCTTCAAAGCATCATTCCAGCTTTGCTACTTCTAATCTATCGTCAGAAGTCCCATCCATGGGTGATCATCACTTGAGTGCGACCGAAGTTAGGCAAGCTACTCACGCCACCCCCATTGAGCAAACTGAAGACCCTATGGCGGAGGATAATGAAAGCTCGGACGATGAAAGTGTACACCTTACGATGCAACTAGACACGGATTCCGAGGACGATGCCTAATGGGGTAGTAATCAGTCCTCGAATGGTGCCTACTTCCCGTCTCCAAACATGGACATTCCTGTCCCTATCTCTAGTTCTGTTTTTCAAAGGATATGACTCAATGCAGCTCAATGAATAGCGTTAGTGTCACTATAGTCACCATCATCGCTATCGTGGAAACTTTTGATATCAGAAGAATACGCCTTTCGTCACATCATATGATTTTGAGGCATAAGAAGGAGCGTCCTCCCAGCTCACCGATCATGTTTTATTTCACACACTCGATTCAGATTCACACACTTCAGAACTACCGCTGAACTCTCGATTCTCAATTTCCAATTTCCAATTCTCAATTCTCAATTCTCAAGCAGCCTCGAGTGTATAAGTATCATCTTCCTTTACGCAGAGTAATATCCTCAATGAGGAATTCCATAGTGATCTCCGCCTTCTCCTTGGTATTGGCCATTCGCAGATTCGATCTCTGGCGTTCGGCCCAAATAGGCCATTTCTTTGAGCATGCCGCAATAAACAACACGAAATTCCATTGCGGTGGTGGTGAAATTCCTAAAGAATCGAGCTTCGGAATAGAAAGCTTGAAGGCCACCACGAACTTTTCCAAGGAGGGGAAATCGTCGCATTTAATTGTGACGTAGTTCCGAATAGCGGTGTATAGAAGAACCGGGCCAGAAACCTCATACCGGTGTTGTAGAGCCTCCCACATATCCAATGGTAGCCTTGGCTCGTGTATGTCCGAGAGGGCCAGCCTTGCAATTCAGGGTAATCGCAAGCTTCATCTGTGACTCTCCGGTCTCCTAATCTAGCCATATTTTAAGCTCATATTCCTTCACATCATCATCCCATTCGTTAACCTGTTTTGGTTTCTTGGTCCGAGAGACTTGGGGACATCAATATATCGAATAGATCTGTAAATTGAGGGTTGAAAGTTGGAAGTTAAAAATTGGTAGAGGTCAAATTGAAAAAGAATCTGCATTTGCACGATCAGTCATCTTAACATAGCAGAACAGGTGGGGGAGGGGGCATGGCACCTTCCGTAACGAATAATAAGCTTTGTCACTGTCGCCACCCTGCTGTTGGTACTGAAGACCACAGCCAATTACGCTCGGTCGCCAACCTCGGATGTAGGTTTCTCGTGGGAATTAGTCACTTTGTCTGTCTATAATTTGACTTCTTCACTTGTCCTCAGAAGAACACGAACCCTTCCGGTGGACTTCGGCTAGCAGGATGCTAAGCGAGAATTTTCCAGTCATCTCTGATTCTGATTAAAGAGGAACCGTATCAGGGAGAAGTACGGAAGAATTGTGAGATCGAGCTTGATGAAGAGTGAAGTATCTTCGGGATCGCTTCCCCAAAGCCACGATCACAAACGCCGTAGGATGAATGGAGGCATGGATGGAATTCAAGGCGACCTCACAGAATTGGCAACCGAGAGACTGTGATAGATGAAAACAGGCAGCAACTAAGAAAATCGATGCTTATCTCCTGTGTTCATGCACCTCGCCGATCCCCAGTGCTACATAGTCCTCCCTGGATGGAGCTGAGCCTGACTGAAGCTCGAGTGATCGAGGCTAGGAATTCCATCATCGTCAAGTATGGATATTAAAATGTGTATGCTTTGTCCACGGATGCAAATAGAACTGACCGCAGTTTTGGTATGACCAATCGTGGCGGGAAATATTTGGAAGTGTTGTCGTTGTCGTTGGTGAGTTTCGGGTGGCACGCGTCACCTCCTACAAGCTGATCATGGCCAGCCAGCTCCCCCACCTTCACTGGAAGCCCCTTTCTCGATCAATCCATGTTGGTATTTTCCTATCATACGAATGCCGAATATTCAATCACGCGATTTCTGCCCCGGTATTGATCATCAAACTCCAGCTACGGGAGCGGGCAGAGAGTGAATCTGAAGAAAAGCGACGAAATCATGACTGAGACGACGGGGGCAGATCTAGAGCAGCCAACCTACAGCTTTGAAAGCCTGGGTGTGCACGCAGGGTAGTTTTAACCTTCAACTAAACAAACCATTTGTCGGAGCTGCAGTTGACCATTCTCAGTCTCAGCCGAAAAGAGAACAAGGTCATAGATGCAGCGATCTATGCCTCTACTGCAAGGAACCCTAATATATACTTCAGGTCCTGATCTGACATTCTCACAGTCGTTTGTATTCGAAAATAGCGCCCATGGAGCCGCAATATTTAACGGGACGGCTGAAGCGTTCTGCTACAGCCGCATTGGCAACCCTACTACCAAGGTCTTCGAGACCCGAGTAGCTGCGTTGGAAGGAGGTGAGGCTGCCTTGGCCACATCTTCTGGCGCCGCAGCTTTGTTTACGACGATTATATCCTTGGCACAACATGGAAGCAACATCGTCGTAGCATCGTCGATTTCAGATTCTTGGACCCATGTATTTCAGCACCGCCTCCCGACTTGGGGAATCACGGCTCAATTAGTTAGCAACGATGACATCGAGCAGATCGTACAGGCGATCGACAAAGATACAAAATTTGTGTTCGCAGAGAGCATACCCACCGACAACTTGCAGATTTCAGACATCGAAGCCCTCGCGACTGCGGCTCACTCAAAAGGAGTCCCGCTAGTAATCGACAACACCGCTGGTGCAGGAGGTTATCTGATTCGTCCTCTCGATCATGGAGCAGACATTGTCATCCAGGACGCAGGTCCGTGGCTCAGTGTCTCTGGCTCCATCTCAGCCGGAATCATCGTCGATAGCGGCAGATTCGACTGGAGCAGAAGCGTAGAACGATATCCTCAGTTCTTTGACCCGTCGGCTGGCTTTCACGGCCTGAAATTCTGGGAGAAGTTCGGGAACCTGTCGTTCATTACGTATGCTAGAGCGGCCGTGATGAGGGATTCGGGACCGTGCCTGAACCCGTTCGAGGCGTTCCAATTGATCTCGGGTCTTGAGACGCTGTCGGTAAGGTTAGAGAGAATATCGTACAATGCTTTTGTGCTTGCGGATTGGATTGACGAGAGGAAGGACACATGTGGAATCCAAAGAGTGTTGTATCCAGGTAAGCTACGATCACTTCCCGTTATCTGTCATTGTTAAGCCCATCACCAGGTCTCTCACATGCTACAGTTGCCGCGAACAGAAATTACATAAAGGGTGGGCTTGGTGGCCTGTTGTCCATCACGTTGGCAGATATGGACGTCCTTCCACGACTCCTGAGGAAAGTAACCCTCATATCGCTTGGGCAAAGGTATGACCACTCAGCTGGCTTCGAGAGTCACGAGGAAGACTGACACTTGCTCGCTTCCCACAGCATCGGCGGTTCGAAGACAGTCATAGTAAACCAGCCAACCATCTCGACAAAAGCGCCACCAAAAGCGTGGATCTCGGTCGGACTTGAAAACATAGTAAGAAGACATGGCACCACACTCATTTTTGTCTGCCGAGCGCTAACATTCGCATAGGACGATATCATTGAAGATCTTGCACAAGCTACATCTGATACTGAGATTTGAGCGGCGTTAGAGGGAAGCAAGATAATCTGGCACGTTTGAACTGGGAGCAAGGAAGGAAATCGATTCGCTGATGGAAAAAGTACGAGACTGGAAGTATTACGTATTCCAATGGGCTTCCTGCCCCTGGAGTACCGAATAACCTTTTGAAGAACGTTGATCATCAATCAAACATATTTATCTCGCTCCTATCGCATCCACTCTCACCCTCCTAACCTAGCAAAAATTGAAACGCTGTCGCTTTAATCAACAAAGCAAACCAGCAACCTTCATTAAAAACCCCCCGGATATTTTCATAGTGCAATCTGCAGCACGCACAGCGACTCTGGGCTCTAACAAGAACACAGACTTCTGTGAGATATGGGTTCAAGCTCCATTGAGACTACACGGCCGGAAAGATCATTGTTGAATTCTCGAGCTGCGCAATGACCCGTCCCCGTCCCCGGCCCCTCTCTTGTTTGTTTTTGGCCTTTCCATCGTACTCATCGTGATAGCTTTTGGGACGGCTTTTCGTGTTTTTGTTAACCTGGCGTGCCGCCGAGGGGGAGAAAGGGTCGATTGAAACCGAATCAATGGATGACTGCCCGAATTCGATCGGACAGTTTCTTCGGCCTGGAGAGGCGGCATATCGAATGTCTGGGGAGTTTTCAGCAGTTTCAGTGACTGACCACCATGGGTTTCGGGACGTTCAAACCAAGATCCAGACGCTTTTTACTTGGTATCCATTCGCATAAGCGCACGTACTGTACAGTGCGGATGCTAGCTTGTTCATACATGAGAGCGGCTTATTCATCATCACCGCCATCAGCTTCAGGTCCTTCGCTCGTCTCCCCCTCAACATCCTCTTGAACCACGTCAAGTCCCTCATCCAAATATCCATCTTCCTCATCTATATCGCCAACAACCTCACTACCGGCCTCAATCGCCAGCAATGGACCATCAGCTTCCGATAAGCCTCTCTCAGCTCTCAGCTGTGCCACCTTTGCGCTCGTCATGTCGAATACATATTGCCCCAAGTGCTCTACGCTCACCATCTCGGTCTGTCCGGGAACATCTGAGCCTTCTTCGTCCTTGAGAATTCTTTGGCTTGGCCATAGCTCGCCGGTGACAAGCTGCAACGTATCTTGTCTCTTCAAAAGGATGTCAAAGGCCGGCTTGAGCTCAGTACATGATTCGAAGACCTCACGCCGACCGAGGATGTACAATCCCAGACGTGCACGAGAAAGCGCCACTGTGAGACGTCGAACATCTCGCAAATAACCGACGCGGGATGTACGGGTCAGAGAAAGTATGACATCTATCTTTCATTAGCTATTGGATCAGTGGAAGAGATTTAGGGAACTTGCAGTCATTTTGCTCTCCCTGGTACTTGTCGACGGTGGTGACAATTTTAGGAAGACCAAAGAGGGGATTGTTTGCACATCGGTGTGCCAGCACATCCTTGATAAGAGCACGCTGACCTGCGTATGTAGCGAGAATGCTGATCTTGGCTGCGGGATAGCCCAAGAGACGCATGTACTGATATATGGCGACAGCGTATTCTGCTTCACCTAAATTCTGTATGAAATGTGGAGTTGGTTCTGTCTCCCCCTTCCCTTTGTAATCCGGTACTTGTATGAACTGGTAATCGTACTTGAAGCCAGCGTTAGCAACTTGGAATTCCGTTGATGATAACGTAAGAGGCAAGTTGTCAAGATTTTGGTACCGCCATGAGTACAAGGAAGCTATCGAAGGTCGGGCTCGGCCTTGCTGGTCTAGGTTGACCGTCGGCACGCCAAGACGGACGAGGCGGGAAAAGAGAGATTGTTCCAAGTTGGCATATTGTCGGAAAGCGAGATTTTGAATGACAGGGGAATTTTGAAAGTGGTCGCCGCACAGGACAACACGCTGCAAAGGCATCTGTCCACTCTTGGGGTTTTGCAAAGCCAGTGGTAAGAAATTTTCGATCTCTGTGATCTGAGCAGCTTCTTCCATAATCACATTATGGTAATGGAATCCCAAGCCTGAAATTTCCCTCCTCCTCATCGCTGCATGAGTCGATGTCATCGCAATGATACGAGCTTCGTTTGTTAGAAGATAATTCGCTTTGTCGCGATCTCTGCCCAAAATTTCGAAGGGACGAAGATCTGCCAGTTCCTCAAAAATCTTCTTGACGTGATGATAACAGCCATTAGCAATATCTAGGATGACATCCTTCTCTGCATCGGCTGGGAAGAGAGGCTGAGCTGCGTTGGAGAAGTAGTAATGAAATGGGAACGCCTCGACAATGGATTTTGAGGTGGCGTCCGGGGATTTGGAAGACTCCTCAAATCTCGTCCAAGCTGGCAGAACATAAACCGAGTTGAAGTACAGTGCAGTTTCAGCGGATGAACCATGGGCCCCCGGAGCATCAAAATTTGCAGCAAGCCGATTCACCTCCTGAAGATATCCATCCCGGTTTTCAAAGAATGATTCAACTCTTCCATGCTTGCTGAAATTGGCTTCGGTATCAAGCTCTTCCTCGCCATGGCCCAGACGGAGCAAGTGCCGCTCGTCGATATCCAAAGCAACAATCTTCTGGAAAAGCTGGTTTAAGGCCTGGTTACTATGTGCAATCAACAAAGTTCGTTGCTCAGGAAAGTTGTGGTATATGTTATTAATAATCTGAGTCGCGACATCAGTCTTCCCAGTTCCGGGGGGCCCAATGATGACGGTGAGTCCTGGCTGTGTCCCTGAGACGATTGCTTCAACCTGACTGGGCGTAAATCTTACTTGGTTGAGTTTTGGGGCATCCATAGGATACGGCCCAGTATTCGGAGGTTTGTAGGTAGAGACTTCGACGGACTGTGGTTGTGTGTGCGGTACGGGCTCAGCATCTCGGCGACGCTTCTTTGACGATTTGACCGGAGCAGGCGCCTCGGCTTTTGGACCCATCTGCAAAACGTAGGGTGGCCCGAAGCTACCGTGGACATCCTCGCTCGGCTCTATGGTCTTGCCAGGAAAACTTTCAATCAGGTGCTGCCAGTCAAGGAAAGTGTCTCGGTAGTCCACCTTCTTGATCTGGTTTGCGAGGTGGGTATAATTAGCTCCTGCTGGGTCTCCATAGCCAAGGAATACCTCGTGAAGCCAAGAAGCCAGAGGCACGTCAGATAACGTCAGGCTCTGAATGGATTCCAAAATCGGCTTGAAGTTGTTCTCGCGTCCTCTCCGGCGCACAACGAGATTCATGCTTTCAGTAATATCCGGTTTCCCGCTCGCCACCCTCTCTTGATCTGCTTTGTACATAGCTGCATCAAGCTTTACCTGCAATCTCCGCAGTCGAGGTCGGCCGTGGCCATTTTGAGCATTCTGGTCTCGCAGCGATCGTCCTTTGTCATCCAAGACTTGCGTAACTTCAGCGGTTCGAACATATTTCAAGCCCAATTTTTGTAATTCAGAAGAGGTAGCATCCCCGTTCGTCACCATCTTTGAGCTGTCAGTAGCCTGAACTGCCACTAGGAAAATAACATCGTCAGGGCGAAGTGACTCCCACTCCCGGCGGACGTTGTCTGCCAGGCGGCTGACATCTAGCGAGATTTCGGCACGAACTGCGGAAGGCTTATCATCTCCAACAAGAGGCGGGACAACTTCAAGAATCCTGCTCCATGTTAGGAAAGGCTCAAAGACACTGAAGTTGTGAACTTACGTAGGTTTCGTGATTGGCAAGGCCATCCTCGAAAATCCCCCAAATTCGGTCTGGCCAACTCTATTCATTGAAGGGCGAAGCCTTTGCACGACGTCTTCGATGTGCTTCCTGATTTCGTAGAAAGATTCGCTACGGTGTAGAATGAATGACCGCCAAAGAAAATCTCCAACTGTGAGGTATTGAAGATTCAACTTTGGAATAGCCAACGGCTGTGAGCCATTATAATTGTCATTTCTCAGCAATGCTGGTTCGAAGAGAGTTACTTCTGTCGGTAGTATACTGAGATCACGTGCAGTCTCCTGAAAGGTCTTCCGCTTCTCATGTCCAGATAGGAGAACCTCAGTGAGAAGCTTCCGGTCTGCTACAAATTTGGTTGATGATGGATAAGAGGTGCGGAGTTCGAGCAGATCACAGAGGCGGAAAATCTCTTCATCTGTCAGGGCTGCTAGGTGACCTTCAAGCTCCGTACGCTTGTCAATGGATCCGTAATTTGACAAGGCTAGGATGGTCAATTTCTCCTTGAAATACTTGAGAGCTGTTCGCTGCAAAGTAGCAAGTACCGCGCAATGACGTTCGTATGCTTCAGCACGAGTATGCTGTATGCCAGTATGATCATCGATAGAGAAATGGGTGTAATGCTTGAACAGACCATACAGATCTCTCAGGAGCCCATTATCCTCGTCGTTAAAGGCGGGGGACATTCGTATGACTGTAATCGTGTTGAGGTCTTGAAGAAGTGTGTTGACGTATCGACGGGTAGGAAGTTGACTTTGCAAATCCGAGATGAACTCGATGAAACGTTCGCAGTAACGCAGGTTTCCTAGTCGATCGTCAGCTTGTTCGTCACCTACTCTCCATTGGAACTTACCAGGCTTTCTTTTCTCATTGTATAGCTGGTTGAAAAAGTCCAGTACAAGCGTAAATAGCCATGATCTCTCGAACCGAAGTCGAGCCTTTGTCGCATTATCTGCTGCATCATAACGCTTTCCCGCGGCTCTCCAAGCCTTCCTCAACTGTACTGTCTGGTCAAGCTTTCGTTCCCGCTTCGCTTCAGTTGATATGTTGTGCCATATAGAGATTGATACCAGCGGAGCGCATTCTTTTCTCACAATCCCGCTGTCCAGCGACTGGAATGAGCTGATAATGAATGAAAGGAGGTGGGTGCGGATTGTCGCAGACAATGTGGTGTCGAGTGTCATAGAGAGGATTCTGCGAAAGAGTTGGGAAAAATCTGACGGGTTTTCTGTAAAGATTTCTATAGCTGGTCAGCTTGACAATTCCCGACATAGGTTGTAGAAGCCTTACCCCATGTTGGCAAGTGCTCTCTGGTTCTAACATTTGTGATCAAAACGATGAGAAGAACGTGAAAGTTGGAGGAATCCTCGGAGTAGCCAGGCCAAAGATAACTGTACGGAGTTAGCAGATGCGATATACACAGCAAGCCCGGCCTACCTCTCAAGTATCTGCAAGTTCTCCAGCGCCAAAAGGGACTTGAACGGAAAGTCCTCCTTCTCGAGTACATCCCATATGTCATTCTTCAAGATATCCGGCTTGACCTTGACCTTCGCAGCCGTCTTCTTGCTCGGCTTCAACCAATGCGCTCTGGCAAGCTCCTCGAAAAAGCCCTGTCCGTCCGCGTCGCCCGCCGCGCTCCCCTGCTCTGCTTCCCGCCGCGCATCTTCCTTGACTCTGGTTCTCGGCGCCATGTCGTGAGTGCCGTGTTCTGGCTGCGAACGTCACTCTGCGCGACACGATCCAGGCACGAGTCTTGGATTCTCTCTTAACGCGTTTTAATATCACGTGATATCAATCAAGCTTTCCCTCCGCTAGTACGAAGTAAGGTACCGATATCATTAAGCATCAGCCGCGTCGCGAGACCAGCGAATTCAACAAAGATTGGACCATACATTCGCTTTCGAAAATTCTTCCCAGCGCAGACTTCGCCCACCTGAAATCGCGCAGAGCTCAAGTCGGCGCATCTATTGTCGCAATCATGGAGAGAATCCAGATGGTGGAGGATTTTGGGAAGCTCTTGGATAAAATACTCGCGAGGGCCTTGGAGATCAAACCGACGAGCACGATCGAGCCGCCATTGAACAAATCCGACTTCGCCGAGCTTTTCGCCCAAATCGACTCTGTTTTCCCTTCGACAACTTCCCTCGAATCGAAGAAGCATGCGATTGAAACCGCCGCCCGCGAATCCTTCAACAACTTACTGGTGAGCCGCACATCGGTACGAACACGGGAACGCATATCTGACGTTCCATAGGCCTGTACTACAACCATCGATTCTCCCTCTTTCGTCAACATATGGAACCTCCTCGACATTATGTCAATTCTTTCCGATGACGATAAAACCGAGCCAGCGGTAATGGTTTGGCTAGTAGAGGAGCTCTTCGACAGTCAAACAGTTGCCGGTTGCCGGAAGATATTCGACTACCTCGAGTCACGGCGAGAGCGTATCATAGCGAAGTACTTTGACAGTAAAAAGTTGGTAATATTGAGGAGCTGCAATGAGTTACTACGACGGCTTTCACGGGCTGAAGATACAGCGTTCTGCGGGCGCGTGTTCATTTTCCTGTTTCAGAGTTTTCCCCTTGGCGACAAAAGTTCAGTGAATCTTCGAGGCGAATACCATACCGAAAATGTGACCACATTCGACGTGCCCCCGCCCAAGGAGGTTGCAGATCCGGAGAAGATGGATGTAGACCCCAGTTCAGAGTCACCATCAGGTGGCGGCACCCAGAAGGCCAGCCAGAATTCGTCAAGTGCCCCCCAGAAGGGCGTTAGCTTCTCGAGATCAGAAAATGTAATGGCCGCGGAAGACTTATATGTCGCCTTCTGGTCATTGCAACAGAGCTTTAGCCAGCCCAAGAGCCTCTTTGACAACACAAATTTTTCAAGTTTCAAAGCAGGATTAGAAGCTACTATGGCAATGTTCAAGTCAGTGCAGTCGGACGTTTCTGGAAGGCAGACAAAGTCCAATGAGGAAGGCAAGCGGGGAACAAAGCGAAAACACCACCAAGGGGATGACGATCTTGCAAGCACATACAACCCCAAGTATCTCACAAGTAGAGATCTCTTCGAATTAGAGGTACGAAACTGCGGCTCATAAGGACACATTTTCAAGCTAACAGAAATCACAGATTAGCGATCTTTCCTTTCGAAGACACATTATCGTCCAAGTCCTGATCGTGATAGAATTCTTGCTATCTCTGAGCGCCAAGGCTAAAGAAAAACTTTCGAAGGCATTGCCCGATGGCACGAACAAGTCTGTCACGTATGTAGACCAGGTATTGAGCGAGGAAGATGTGAGTACGCTATTGTTGATATCAGACTCAGCTCCCCCATCTTTCACGATCTATTTAAGTGTTATACACTAACATAACAAGACCAAATGGGCCACCGAGATGAAGAAGTCTATGGCGGAGTACTTGAAGCAGGGATATGAAGGTGCTTACTTCCACCGCATGGTCGAAACTGTACTTTCACGCGACAAGAATTGGGCTCGTTGGAAGATCGAGAACTGCCCGTCTATCGCGAAGCCATCAATCACCCCCCAAGAATACGCCAGCGCTAAGGTCTCGGCTCGCAAAGCTACTACGACCAAGAGACCACGGCCAAACCCTCCAATAGGATCCCTCGATTTGCAGTTTCTCTCTGAAGGCGACAATCGAAGTGGATTGGATAGACTGAAGGATCCTACAAGATATCAACTTCCCTCTGTCAAGAGTTTCAAGAGTAGCATTGAGCTCGACGATATGGACATCGAGATGGCACAGGACGAGGAGTCAAAGAACGCAGCAATGGAATTGAAAGCGAGCAAAAGCTGGCGAGCCCAGCGAATCGCTAGCGCAACTCAACTAGCTGTATTCGACAACATTCAGCGATCCGACAAAATCGATCTTTTGTTTCAAGACGCTGTCAGACCCGAAGAGACGGTCAATGGTGCCGAGGAGGAAAGTCGAGACTCCCATAGGCTACCGAGAGATCGACGCCCGGTCGTCATTTCCGATGAGAAGGAGGCTGGTAAGAATAAATTAATCACCATGCTCGTGGAGGCACACGGGAAGTCTCTAGCAAAGACGGTATCACATACTACCAGGCCTCCCGGGGAGAAGGAGGTTGACGGTATCGACTTTCATTTTGTGGATACGGACAAATTCGCGACTATGCGTGATGGAGACCAATTCCTGGAACACCAAGATGATGAAGGCATTTACTATGGCACCAGTCGGAAAGCCATTGAGGGTCTGATTGCTCAAGGCAAGACCCCTATTTTGGATTTGGGCATCAATGTAAGCCTTAACTCTCCGTATTCCATGCCATACTGACCATCCGATAGCAATTCCAACAGTTAAAGGATCAAGGGTTTGATGCACGCTTCATCTCCATTATCTCGACAGATACACCAGGGCTCGAGACACAATCTCGGCGTCAAGAAAAGTCTTCGGAGACATGGAACGGAAGTCCCCAGGCCACAGATGAGAGAGAGCCCCCGATACCTGAAGGACATCACGTCAAGACAATACTGAACGACGGTGTCGAGCAGACTTATAAGATGTTAGAGCAATATATATTTGGGGACGACTTGGAGAAGGAGGATGTTTTGCAGGCAACGTCAGTTGGCGCATCCCCGGCGAAAGCAGCGACTATAGACGTTGAGATGAGTAACGGCGATGGACCTACCAGAGGAGAACTTGTGACGATTGATACCCCTGCTCCGGAGGCTATGGAGACAGATGACGCCGTCCCCATAGCAGAGACATACTCTGCGACTTCGACATCTGAGGCTGCTGAGCCGACGAATTAAAGGTCAAGCTTTTACAACAGAACAGCTGATCGGATTTGTTTTCATCTTTGCATAGCGAAGCGGCGTACTGAAATACAATGAATTAAGGTTAAATACTAGTTTCTTAAGGCCTTCTACCCGCTTTTCCCACACCTTCGAACATTGGTTAACCGGTATAGCCTGTCTCAAGAGCCATAGAAATAGGAGCAGTCGTAGCCGGTCAGAGGTGATCCTTTTTTTAGTCTACAGTCTCAGTCTACATTTTCTCTCGTTAGCGAACTAGCAACTGTTCGTCGCGGAAGGGAAGTCAGACCTGTCCGCAATATCCGGTGTGATCAAGAACAGCCGCCCGATCGCAAATGCGTTAATTGTATGTTGCGTCCTCTAGTATGTTCAAATTTTTTTTTACCGCTGTTAGCGATAAAGAAAAAAAAACGTACTCACGCTCTACAATTGCCTATCCTTTCACGCACTGGTACTGGCTTCTGCACCATAGTGAGAGAGGGTGGGGAGGGGGTGGCAACTGCAACACTGCTGATAAGCTCTTCAAGCTGTAGGGCTCCTGGAATCCCGAAGACCCATGTTTAGGGTGTGGAGATGAGTAGCCGGCCGAGTCATGATGGCTTTCCTGGTCCGTTGCTCCTGACTCGGCTGGTCTACCTGCGGGAGTAGGAAGACTTGATCCAGAAGCGCGGGAGGATTGAAAAAGGCGAGAGAGGTGGATGCTTTGAATTAGCATTGAGCATGGTCAGGGATGCAAGGGAAGAGAAATAAACTACGGACGAGGACTGGGCCGGAGCGGGGGCTTAGAGTGTTGGGAGTCGGAGGTGGGATGACGTTCGTATTTGGTAAGACATACAGAGTAGGTAGGTATATGTTTTTGTTTTGGCAACTAATTGAAACATAACCTGCAGTAGAGTACGGAGTTATTCGCACCTGTTGCAGTCGAAAGAGGGGTAGAATTGCGCGTTGCGGCGAAGGTGAATGCGAGATCGAAGATCAGTTTCTATCACTTAATCAAAACTCCCTAAAAAAAATCATCATCTCCTGTCCCCTCCCCTCGCCAGGATCGACATATCTGGATACCTACGAAATGCACCACCGGGTCTCCATCCTGGGCTTGCTCGTGCCGGCCCTCATCCACCTCACATCCGGTCTCGAAAATCACTCTCACTCTCACTCTCCCGGCCCTTCCCAATTCTACGCCAATGACACCATCCCCTTCTCAACAAGGGCATTCTGGATGCGCCGTGCCAACGAAGCATTGAGCGAACTCGATTCACCGTGTCCATTCGCTGCATTCGGCACGGTGATCGTGAACCACACCGATTTGAGCGAGGGGCCGCATGGGAAGGCTATCTGTTACGGGGTTAACGCGAACAGAAAGACGGGGAATCCGACGCTACATGGTACGCCGATCCAGGGTGGAATGTCGAAAAGCTGTAGAGCTGATGACGTGACATAGGGGAAGTGGCTGGTATCAACAATTGCTCGACCATATTGACGGATCCAGAGGGCGAGTATAGGCTGACTGGGGCGGAGGCATTGCTTGCCTTTGCGACGTTGAGTCTCTATACTAATGCGGAGCCTTGTCCCATGGTACGGCCACCACCAGCCCACACCTTCCCGGCTTCCAGAACTGACGGCAATTGCATAGTGTGCCTCGGCCATCCGCTGGTCTGGCTTCTCGGAATGCATCTTCGGCACTAGTATTGCAACTTTGATCGCCAAGGGATGGCGTCAGATTGAAATTGCGGCTGAAGAGGTATTCGATCGATCAGAGGATCTGCCGCGTAGCACCAAGTTGTACCAAGAGGTGTTGACGAACGAGACGGATCCGTATTTCTTCTGGCAGTATGACAAGACCTACCCTTGCCCGAAGGGGTGTGAGAGGACGAGTAGTGGTAGTAGTTGTGCTGTAGTGGCCGAGAAGCATGGGGATCTGTGAGATGGCTCCAGTGTGCGCTGGTCCGATAGGAATTTGAGGAGAGTACCTCAGCTCCTACGCGATGATCACTTCGCCGGTCATACAGTAGAGAAGACTGGATAACAGAGTGAGGGAAAATATGAACACATAACTTCTTGGCATTAACATGTAACTTTGTGACACCCGGGATGGCTTGTGAGCCGGCCACGCATTCAGCACATTCGGTGGCTTTGCTCTCTTGATACTCGGGGCCAGGTGACCCTTTTGGTAAGGAGACTTCTTTTCTGAAGTGCTCGGCAATTTGTGTACGAGTAGCAACCTACACATTCTCCTTGCTCACAACATACTCCACGATTCTCTTCAAGGCCATGAGACGCCCGAGTTTTCTAATGCAGCGGCAGCGAAGAGCAATGGTCATAATCTTAAGCGATCCTTCCTTGAAGAGTGTATCGAAAGCGTTCTTAAAGCGGTTTTAGAAATGATTTGTAGAGCAAAAGCCGGTTGGTACGTTGAACTTATAGTCATTTCAATCTGCGATTGTAGTCACAAGGTTAGGGGATAAGAGACTGCAGGGTACGCACCGTATGAATGAGGAAGCATCAACATTTTCCCCTGGATTCTGCTCTTGCTTCTCGGCAGTTATGTCAACCCAATAAGTTCTGTGGAAGTCGTAATTATCATCCCATTCATGAGGTTTGATATCGCCTGCATCCTTGGGAATATCTTAATGCGTAGAAATCTTCTGTGAAAACGGGAACTGGCCTGAATATGCAACACGATTGTAAAGCTGCAGAGAGAAAACAGGAGAACACGACAGATTCTTTTAAATACGCGTACACTGGAAGAGCCATGTCAGACCAAGCTCTGAAGAGCTACCAGCCAAAATCCTATCGGCTACTGACATATCCACGATGTCACCCATCTTGATAATATTGGAGCGGAGTCCCTAGGTAGGTGGTGCCAAAGGAGGCCTAAATCGGAGCACGTGAACGGAATTTCTTTCTCTCGAGATGATAAGAGCGTTGGGTTTCCTTGCCCCCGATGCAACGGTATATGTATGCATGGTATTGCTTCGCCGCGCTGGGCTGATCGGAAGACTACCGATGAGCAAGGGGGAGAGCTGCATTGAGTCGGTCGATGGCCGGAAGAAATTCCAAAGAGAAATAGGAAATCAATACGTATGCAGATGTATGTATTGAACCAGCAACATCTTGGCCGAAAAAAAAAGAGCAGAACTACCAGAGAAGAGACATTGATGGTTTGTTGCCGGAGCTAAGGTTGAGCCCCGGGCCTGAAGTGCAAATTTGTCTTCTGTCCCACTTTCCGAGCCGAGTTTTCTTTAACGACATGTCATCCATCGAAGCTGCAATAATGCTCGCCATTCTCGGGCCAAATATGTACAACACCATCGATATCTAACTGAACCGTTTCTGGCAGCTTAGAAAACTCTTTATTAATCAAGAAGTTTGATACACAATCTTGCATTCCACCCGAGAGGATGTTGAGTTCATCACGAGAACAGGTAGTGGCATTTGTGTGCTGAACGAAGGATGACGACCTCATATGATCTTCGACCAGAATTGCGCCTCGGGGCGCAATGGTCACGTATAAGGAATCATCGTAGCTAATGAAGCAGAATTTCATTACGGTGTGCCATCCTGGAAGGACAGGAGCTCGCGTGTCCATGGCAGCCAAGTCGACCGAGGAGCAGAAATCCGGCTTTCGTTTGTAGAACGTATGCTTTGGAAACTTGCTGTATTATCACTTCTTCGCCTTTTCCTTTGCACATTCTGGATTCCTGATTTCAAGGGTTGCGTTTCTCTAATTATTCTCAATCGGGCCCTTCCAGCTTCAACACTGTATCCTTGATCTATACTATCTATGTAGGCTTTCATTAGGACATAAAAGATTGCTCCGAAGGCCCAGTCGAGTCGTGAAACCCAAGCTGTCTATATGCAAATCTTTTGGCATCAGGATGTGATCCTGACTGCAATTTATAAGCTGTGCTAGGGTTTAGTTGAGGGGTCCTTGCTCTGGACGACTTCCTCTTGTACAGGCAAGTGCATCAAGCAGTTTACAGACCTCCTCTAAGTTATCATCAATTTACTCAATGTATTGTCGGGCCGGTCAATGTTCTTTGAGAGTGGTGATAGATGGATCTTGTCATGTTCTGCAGTATAAAAAGCTCGGAGACCATAAGGGTGGGCTACTCTTCCACCCTACGTCCTCAGCTTATCTTGCTTTCTTATTTCAGGAACATGTCTGGTCTACACTATGAAATTCGTTATTGGTTACTGCTTTATGTTGTGGAGTTTACTAAAAGCTGCTTGGTCTGCGCGTTTGCTTCACCATTCATTGCCACTTGATTGCCCTCCCCCACGCTAGGTTCCAGCTTTGTGGACTGTAGCTTTCAGCCCGTGATTCCTTGCTGCCCTGCTACTGCAAGTCCTACCAAGGGCTATTGGGTAAAAATTACGGAGTTGCATAACCTGCAATACTTCCTATGGATTCTAAATATAAATGTTTCTTTTAGTTTGTGACTACAGATCAGGATATCATGCTCAACATCCCCTTAATAGTATATAGCATTGTGCTAAGACTGTCTTAATTATCGCAATACAGTGTGACAAGAGCAACGGCCAAGTCAGTACCATACTTTCCTTGAAATCCTTTGTTCTTTGAGAACATTCACTTTTTGTCGCATATTCACCTTACTAGCAGCCTCCGACAATGTGCCTCCCCGATAAGACTAGCGCCAAGCAAGTTTTTCCTAAAGCTAGCTCCGTCTTCCCTACAACCTCGACTTTCCCTATCGACCGATCTTGTTCAACCACAACCTATCAACCGATTGTAACCTCCAGCAATACACCACGACAAACAATATTGAAATGGCAAAGAAGAGAACACGCCGCGGCGAGGCGGTCGAGCACGCTGCTTCAGTCACACCTACCTCCATCGCACCTGCCTCTATCGGGACTGCTTCCGTTGAGCACACTGATCCGGTCCTACGTCCCTTCATCGCACTTCCCTCCACCGCACTTCCCTCACCTTCTAAGGGCAACAGCGACGGCGACGGCGACCACGACCATGAGACCAGCAACAGCGGCTCGTCAACATATGCTATCGCTGGCCAAAACCTTGCAGATGTAGGTGTACTTGTCTGATCGAGGTGATCTTTCCGACCGCTGATGGGAAATTTAGGGTGGCGTTACGCATGTTTCGACTGACGGCTCCCCTCCGAAGGTGAGATTCGAAACCTTTTGTTTACTCTCATTATCCAAAGCTGACTAGCGACATAGAAAGTGAAGAGGACATTTTTGAGGCTTCCACCGGAGATCAAAAAGAGAATCTGTAAGTCATCACTGTGCACGGGCTCTCTCCATCTGCTGACCGTCGACTGTTCAGATGAATTGGCAACTACGCTTGATAAGCCCATCACACCAATCCAGCTGGCCACCGGATCGAATAAGTTCCTCTGTACGTACCGCACCCCCGTGACCCCACCCCACAAACACAACCCATTCCAAGTATCTAGTGCTCGACGGATATTCTGCTTGCTGCGGTGCGAGCGCTAACTCCTGGTTACTTAGGGAGCATAGATCAGGTTACCTTTAATAAGAATGGTTGTCGGATCATAAAAGATCCTTCTCTCGTCGCACCCCTAGCTGCGGTCTCCCTCTCTGCCGTTTGCAAGGAGATGTACACAGATGTTTCCCTCACACATATGTTTTACACGAACAATGTGTTCGATTTCACCAGTTATCGGAGTGATGTGCTCACTTATTTGGTTGCGATTACCCAGCCACGGAGAGATGCAATCAAGACAATTAGCATGTATTGGCATTTCGTGCCATTTTGGGGACGAAAGCTATGGGATATGCCAGAGATTTGTAAGTACTTTATTTCAACTTCACTTTGTATATGCTGACTTCTGTCTGCAATATAGGGACACTGATTGCTTCATGCGAGGGTCTTAAGTCTCTTCAGCTCAATTTCAGCAACTACTACATGAACCAATTCTTGACTTCTGGTAGAACTTTAACCCGAGCACTGGCCGGATTGAAGGAAGCAAAAGTTGCTGTACGCGGCTTGGACCTGGCTTACAAGCGTAAGTACCGAACCCCTTCAGTGACTTAGGATATTTGTTCGATCAGGAGAGAGCTAACTAAGTTTCTATGACAGTGATTGTTGACGACTTTCATGAAGATTTTCAGCCTAGCCCACCTATCCCCAAGACAGTTCAAGATAAATTTCTGGAGGATGTTAGTAATGCCCTTCCCAAGAGTTCAGATATGGAGCGCACTGGCACAGCCAATAACTTGAAGCTCTTGCAAACCGCCAAACCAAAGGCCAAATTGAATATCTATGGGGAGGGTCGATTGTCAAATGACAAGAAGCCTGGACGTATGTGTGAAAAACGCTTCTTTCCGTGCTCGTTCAGTGGTTCAGGCATTTCCGGTTCCATGTCTCGAAACATCAATTCTTGCCATGGAGATTGCTGACTCCGGCGTTATGTAGAGGTCTCGAGCCGTACTCGTGGCGGAATGCAGAAGGTTGAACATTTGTCGGACAAAGGAACCCTTCCCGAAAGACAGGCTCATAGGGTAAGTCAATACTGCGGTGCCTCGGTAGCTTAAACGAAATTGAGGACTGTTACTGACTGTACCACAGTATGATACAGATGGCTTACTCCTGCGCGATGTTGTCAAATGCATGGAAAAGTGCCGTGTCGTCACTGGAGAGGACGGAGGAGACACGGTAGAATTTCTTGTCGAAACTCACGAAGTTTCATCTCCGTTTTGGGAGGATGCTACGGCGCTCAATGATGATAATCGTGGTAGGATCTTGGCTTTCGTAAGATACACCGATCTATTCCGCGACTTGCCTAATTTGACTTACCTACAGTATAAGAAGAACCCTGGTATGCCGGGGAAGAGCATCGTGCTCCGTATCTGGAAGGTCAGTTGCTATATTCCCGGCTTCGTGAGCATTTTATCTAATTCTTAAGTAGGAGTTCAAGCCGGCTTGCGTCGACGGGGAATACCATTCAAAACCTGCAAGAAGCTTGAGACGCGCTAAAGCTTACGACGAGAAAGCCCTGATCGCTCTCATTGAGAAGGAGGCCAACAAGGAAAAGGATGCGGAGGAAGCTGAGAAGGCGGAGGACGAAATCTTCGATATCCCACTGCCATCGGCGAAGCGAGTGAAGAAGAACTGAGTATTACTGACCTGGCCTGGAACCTGCATCGTCTCTGGTTGATTTGGGGGTTGGGAGGCATACGGATGGCGTTCCTGATTTTACCTTTGATCACGATACCCTAGGCGTTATGGAAAAACAGGTGTGGGGGGGGGGGGGGGGTCCGTTCAGTCAGGAGGCTAGGTTTACTTTGCATCACAAAATCAATCAATCTCTCTCTCTCTCTCTCTCTCTCTCTCTCTGTTCAAGTCCGTTCTCCCACCAGAAACTCGTCAGGTGATATGATGATTTTCCGAAGCGGGTTGTAGTGGTTGATGGCCAGATGTCGACGGGTCGGGTCGGGTATCGAGCTTCGGAAGGTGTCCGAGTGACAACGGCGATCGATCCTAAGATATGAGGAAACACGTTAGAGACAACTGCTAAGTTAGTTAGTGAGGTTGTTATAGACGTAGTGTAGTTGGGGTAAAGCAGTATTTCCGGGCCCAACTCTATAAGCGGATCGGGGTCCGATGTCATGTCACCGGTCGTTACTCGACTACTACTAAGTAGGACTAGTATTTTAGTAGTTACGGAGTAGGTGCGGAGATCCAAGATCTCCGTTCGTACGATATCCAATCACCTGCGAGGTGTGGGGTCCAATCTGAGCTAGCTAAGCCAGCTAGCCACCCTCTAGGTAGCTCCCAGGGGGGGGGGGGGGAAGGCCCCGTACTTGATTCATGTTCGATTTCTCTTTCCCCAGAAAAAATTCCCACTTCTCCTCCTCGACTCGGCAGTGTGGAGAGGCGGGAGTCCGGCGACGGGCTCCTGATTGGTTCGTGGGCAGGGAAATCCATTATCAATGACGCCTGCTTTGCTCGGGCGGGAGTCCGAGAAGGGGAAAGGGAGGAGGGGGATTGGCTGAGCCCCTTTGTGGAGGGGAGCTGCGATTGTTTCCCTAGGTGCGGACGGAAGGGGGGAGAAAATGATGATGATGTGTATATATGTAGGTACGAATATTTTCATATAATATCGCTTCTTGTTGGAGTGGGGTGGGGTGGGGTGGAAGTGGAAGTGGAGTGGGCTTTGATTTTTCTTCTTTAGGTACCTACTACCTACTACCTACTACCGGTACTGTAGGTGGTGTGTTGTATATTACGTAATACATGTATAGTCTATACAGTAAGTAAGTAAGGTAGTCTACGGGAGGTACAAGTAACTTACAGTGATGAAGTTTTCCGACCCACTTGGGAAACTACGGTACCCAGCTTAATCGAGCAATGTGGCGCTGAACGCGCTGATACAATATACTACGTCCTACTACTACGGTACTACCGGTACACTCTACTGTACCGAAAAGAATTAAAATTTTCATCTCCTGTAGATCTTCCTCCTGCCTCGTCTCGGGCCCGACACAACGCTCCGGATTACTCTCAACAAGCGCGTGGCATTCCCCAACCCACCGACCTTTTCCTGCGCGTCTCTCCTGACAGCCGCATGCTATGGAGCGAGGGATCGTAAAAGTGCTGCTCGATTAAGGTACCGTACGCTGGTTGCCAGAGTGGGTCGGAAAACTTGACCGCTGTGCGCACTGTACTGTACGGTACGGTACTGTACAGTACCTACTGTACCTCTGTATGTTGTTGATTTGGTGAATCGTGCCCTGCCCGCCCCCCCGGGAACCCGAAACGGCTGGGGGGAGGGCTGCGGGTGAGGTAAGGTAGTAAGTAGTAAGTAGTAAGTAGTAGTACCTAGTGGATGGAACGGGCCAAGCGTCGATGCCAAGCCCGTCGACGCTAAGGTCTATACCGGCCCTGGATCGTGCGCTGGCCAATCAGCAGCCCGGGACGGGGGCGGTCGGTGTCGGTGTCTGGGAATCTTCTGGAAGAAGAAACTTTGCTTATGCAATCGAGGAATGGAGGAAAGGGCAGGTCATCCCACCCTCGTACCTATATATAATCCGGTTATACGAAGGGGCTCGGTACCGGTACCTGTTTATAAAATATACTGTATGTCGGTATGTATATACACGTATTATACTATGTGAACCCTTGCTCGGATGGCCCGTTTCTTGTGTGGCGTAAAATGTAACGTTAGGACCCTCTCGGACAACTTTGAACCTATACTCCACGGGCCCACACGGATCACACCTCCCTCCATGATGCTGGCATCTTCCTTTGCCGTAGAGATTGTCATTCCTTCATTCATGCGCCTTCTGATGTGATTGATGTCTATACCCTCGTCCCGACTTCTCTCTGCTACTCTTCATCATCATTTGCCTCCTGCTCTCTGTCTGTCTATCTGTCTATCTCTCTGTCTATCTACCTGTCTATCTATATACCTGTCTACCCGTCCATCTATCTATTCTGCCTTCCTCTTTCCTTGCGAACACGACCTCCTCTCATGCATGATTGACGACACTGATACGACCCCCTGAACATTCACGATTCACGATACACCAGATACCAACCACCATACACCTTACACCTTACATACACCTACACATCATACATTACCCGCCGACCTGGACTCGACTCCCATCCACGACTAAGGATAACCAACAGACCTCTGGCCTTCTCCGGATTCCTCGCGGGTTAGGGCTCACCCCTTTTCGCAACACCCACGACGACAGCAGACAGTCCAACGGCCTTCCGCTGGACACGGCGCTCCCATGTCCTCCATCCCTCTTGACCCCGCCCTCCCCCTCCGAAACAGCCTCGCCAGAATAAAAACGCCCCCGAAACCCGACTTTTCGCAAGAGAATGGCGCGCTGGAAGCTTCTAGAGATGCGCGGCAGATTGTGAGGCTGGTACAATGCGCCTCGTGCTCGTACCCGCTGCAAGAACCGGTGACCCTGCCATGTGGGAACTCCATCTGCAAGAACTGCATACCGGAGTTGCGTCTGCGCCCAAATATATCATATCCTGCGACGCCGAATCGTCTGCAGGGCTTCACCTGCCCGTTCCCAACGTGCAAGATGGATCACGCGGCCGGGGATGTCAGCGTGGATGTGGTGCTGAAAAAAGTCATGTATCTGATCAGCAAAGAGATTGATGCGTACGCAAATTCCGACCAGGCTTCGAAAATACTGTTTCGGCTACAAGAACGGGACAAATGGTCGATCGCGGGCGTACCTTCTTTGCGGCAGGAAGAGGCCCGGACTCGTGTCTTGTCTGGCGGGAGGTTGATCGCCACATATACGATGGCGCAAATGGGCGAGCTGCCGTACGACTCCGAGGTCATGTATACTTCAATATCTGCGACCAACGAGCAGTCAGAAGCGCTGGACACCGCGGTGTTGGAGCACCTACAGGAATCTATTCGGGCAGAGCTGGACTGCCAAGTGTGTTATAATTTGTTCCTGGAGCCATATACGACCCCCTGTGGCCATACTTTCTGCCGGTCATGTCTGTACAGAGTACTGGACCATTCAAGGCTTTGCCCTATCTGTCGGCGAGTGCAGACTATCACGCCTCAGCTGGGCCGCGATCGGGACCCATCAAATGTCATCATCTCAAAGCTCCTCACCGGGCTCTGCCCAGAGGCTCTTGCTGTGCGAGCGAAAGCTGCAGAGGCGGATTTGAGACCTGGGACCGTGGAGATGGACATTCCCCTGTTTATATGTACTCTGTCTTTTCCCCAGGTCCCAACATTCCTCCATATCTTTGAGCCCAGGTACCGCCTCATGATCAGACGGGCAATAGAGAGCGGCGAGGGGAAATTTGGCATGCTTCGACACAACCCATCCCGGGAGCCCCAAGGCGAGCTGGGCCGCGTCAGTTTCTATGAGTATGGAACGCTCCTCTGTATCGAAGGCATCCAAGTGTTGCCGGACGGGCGAAGTCTCATCGAGACAAGAGGGAAGTCCCGATTTAGAGTTCTGAAGCACGGAACCCTGGATGGATACACGATCGGCAAGATAGAACTACTCACGGACATCAGCATTCCCGCGGAAGAAGAGCTCGAAGCCCGCGAAACAACCGATACACGCGCCCAGAATCTTTCGGCTCAGTCTGACAACTCAGCCCCGCTCTCCCCTGAAGCCGCTCACATTGCCAAGCTCAACGCCATGTCCACCAAAGCGCTTTTCGAACTGGGCGTTGCTTTTGTGAAGAAAATGAGGGACCGGTCCGCGCCGTGGCTGCATGCCCGAGTACTCCAGGCGTATGGCGAGTGTCCGAACGACCCGGCTATCTTTCCGTGGTGGTTCGCCAGCGTGTTTCCCACGGCAGACTCGGAGAAGTATCATCTGCTCATGACGGATAGCGTGAGGCAGAGGCTCAAGATAATTGCTGACTGGATCGCGGTCATCGAGGCTGGCGAATTGTAAGTGCCACCACTCGTCTCTGTCTTCTCCCGGCCTGCGTCTGTTATTAACATTCGAACAGGAGCCAAGACAATGGCTGCAATGTCCTGTGACTAGCCGGCCTGAGTCTTTCGGTGATGCTTGTGAGCATTGCTATTATGTATATAAGGCATTTGAGTCGAAGTTTAAACGGAACGGAATCAGATGAGAAGAGATGAGTTGAGTTGAAGTAAGACGGGCTATTAGTTAATTGTCTTTGGTGTCTATTTGTGGGATAGGTGCATTTAGCGTCGAGAGTCTGGATCATACGGTTGCTTTTGTACGTGAATTATTCACGTGATGCATCGCATTTTTTTAATCTGATTAAGGGAAGCGGGACATGGTATAACTCAGGGGAATTTGCTAAGCGTTGTGTGTATTAGCTAGGTAGGGAGGGACCTTTATAGCCTCTAGTTTACCGAGAGCCTAAGACTCATCCTCTAGGCCTCTGATGATGATTAAAGATTTCACATCTGAGCAAGGGATTGGTATATGTTATATATATATATCTATATCTATATATCTATACAGCCTTTTGTGTATCATTCATTCATTGACCGTAAGAGAAGCTGCTGGGCACTGGTTTTTCCCAAGGTATACATGTACATGTATATAATATAATGTGATATGATGTGATATAATGTCATGTGATGTAATATATAGCTAGCTTAAATAGATTGCTATAGCTCGCTGTAGCTAGCTAGCTAGCACGACGATGACTATCTAGGTACGTCTGTTCTACGTATGTATATATCACTCACCCTCTTTTTTTTTCTTTCCCGGGGAGGGAGGAATAGGTAGGTAGGTAGGTAGGTATCCTTTCGCATGTCGCCCGTCCGTTGTCTACTACTTAGTACTCGCTCACCACCTGATCTGCTTCACCGCGCTTGGGGATTGGTTGTTTATTCGTGTTACAGCACGCTTGCAGTTTTTTTTTTTTTTTGTTGTTTTTTGTTTTTTTAGACGGGTGGTACTGCGTTTTGGCTGGGTTTGGCCGGGTTCGCTCTGCCTCTATATATACTGTACTTATGAATCCCCGCCCTCCGCGACATTTCACCGAGCCTAGACAGCTGCAGAAGCTAGCGAGCGAGCTGGCTCTGGATGTGGGTGCACTGTGGTTATAGTAGGTAGTACTCTACCATTACCGGTACAACTATCAAGCTACTCTCCCCTGTTGAGTTGACTGTGCTCCAGGCCCGGTCGTTCTCCCATCTCCTCTCGTATTACTGAATTCATAGCGTCGTCCGAAAAGTCCTGTGGCTCATCTCTTGGTTTTGTTTGTATTCGGTGCATTTGGCTTTCCTACGTCTAGATCGTCGTTACGTACTGCTCCTGTTTGTGTGGGGATGAGGATTAGCTTATGCTGATTGGGGATCTTCCGCTCTGTGGTTAACGCTACTCGTAGATTGACTTCAGGTACGGTACTTGAAAGAAAAGACGATTTCTCCACGTTCGCCCTACGCACAGGGTTTGTTTTTCCATCGCAGGCTCCCCTTTTCTTTCTTTCTCTCTTGATTTCTTGACTTCCTGATTTCGGGATGTGGGACTTTGCCGACACGTACAGGGTCACCTTCTTCTTCTTCTTCCTCTCCGTCGCTGTGGTGGATAGCACCAGACCCATTGTCTCCTCTCGTTTCGGCGGCACTTGCAAGTCGCTGCTGGTGGTGCTGGTGGTGCTGGTGGTGCTGCGCATCCGGTAACCCCGTGGGAACCCGAGACGGTGGGAAGTGGCCCGACAGCTTGCGTGCCTCGAGTACCTATAGGAGGCGCACGGTGCGTCATCACTTCTACGGTATACACAAAGAGGTACAGGACACCTTGGAACCATGTAGTAGTTGTAAGTACCGTACGTAGAGAAAGATGTACCGGTAGTAGCGCTTGCGCCCGGCCGCCGAGCTGCGGAGGGAAGTTCTCCGGATCTCGCGGCCCCGTAAGTACCTACTTAATATTCTTACAGGAGAAGTACCCGTAGCCCTTCTTAGCGCGATGATAATCAGCTACCGGCACCGGCACCGGTACCGGTATCCCTCCCTATCCTTCGAGCATGCGAATCCGATACCTACTGTAGCCACACGCCCCCTTCTCGCGCTGCGCGGCCAGCTGGTGCTCAAACACCTCTTCCCCTACCATGAATCAGCTTCTCAAATCAGGTATCCGGAAGGAGAAAGAAAGACCCATGACCGCGTTACATACATACCCAATTCGAAAAGTGATCGAGAAAAATTTGGCCCCCCAACGGTCTTGATCCGGTCCCGAAACTCGTCAAGAAAAAAAAAAAGAAACCTTATTCTGGTGTTGCGCAGCGACCTATTGGTTGGGTTTTGAGTCTTTCCTGCGTGGCTTAAGCTCTGACCTACGGATGCACTCAGCGAACTCTTCATTAACCACGTGGTGGTACATTTCACACGTGATATAACCTTCGGGGTCAATGTACCTAGCATACCTAGATCATTCACATTCATTGGTCGTACGAAAAGCTGCTAGGACAGGTTTTTTATGAGGTATGTGTGGATTGTAGAGCTGGCTAGCTGGCTACAGCTGCTATAGCTATCTATCTATGACGATGACTACGTACATGTATACTTATCGCTCTGTGTCTTGGAGAAATATCTTTCGTCTGTCGTCTGTCGTCGTCGTCATCTATCACTCACTAACTCACTTGACTAGTTATTTGTTGATGTCACAGCAAGCTTGCTGTGTTTGCTGTGTTTGCTCTGCTTGTATACTGGCTTGCAATCCCCTCTGCGATGTTTCATCAAAATATGAAGTTAGAGAGCTAGAGAGCTAGTTCTGTGTGTGCACTGTGCTAAGTAAGTACCTAGGCTAGTTAACCACGGCGAACCCACTCGCCAGAGCTGAACTTGAGATATATTCTGCTTATCTTAGTCTAATATGATTATAGGATCGCACCCTTATCATATTTGCTGCGGCCAAAAAAAAAGGGGAGGGGGGGGGAGAACAAAAAAGGTGGAGGTGAGCGTGAATTTAGGCTGTCTGTCCTACCTAGGCTGGCCAGCAGTGGCTGGTTGGCTGGCTGGCTGGCTGGCTGGCTGGCTGGCTTAGCTACGTGAAGTGAAGTGAAGGAAACGAGGAGGCTGATATGAAAGAGCGAGGTGAGAGCGGGAGCGGGACGAAAGCTAAGGAAAGCCAGGGAAATGGAGATTTTCTTCTTTTAGAGAGACGGGAAGATGCTTTGTTCAATGGGTTGTACGCTGGGTACAGTATAGAACAGAACAGACAGTAGGTACGTATCCAGGCTATGGAGGACTTGGGTTGACGGGCAGAAGAGAAAGTAGAGTTGAGCATCGGGTCGTATCACTCAGGTGAGAATGACTAGAACAAATGACAAGCATAGGTAGCAGACGTGGCAAAGGAAAGGAGAAGAGAGAAGAGGAGGAGGAGCGCGAAGAGAAGTGAAGAATAGAATATAAAATAAGTAGGTACTTATACATGTAAGTAAATACCAAATTCATATCAAGAAGAAGGTATCATCTATTCTCCTGTTCTGCCCCGCTAGCCTATGTCCATAGACCATGTGATCTGCCCGTCGTCTCCTGCACGTCGGCGATCACATGCAAGCCATCTCTTGGTCTCTTCGGGCGGACCCGCAGCAGCAGCAGCAGCAGCATGGTTGGTCGGTTGGTCGGTCGGTTGGTTGGTTGGTCAGTCGGTCAGTTGTTGATCAGTCAGTCGGTCGGTCGGCCGGTCGCATAGTTACGTATTCTAGAAGAAAATTAAAAAATAGCAGTGTCGCACATGGTCAAGTAAGACATTGTGGGAAGTGCAAAGTTATTTGACTAGCCTCCCAGATTTGATGCTTGAGAAGTCCGTAGGTATATTGTCTGTTGCATCCCAACTCAGCCCCCTCGTTTTTCTGCAACTGCAACTGCAACTGCATCTGCATCTGCATCTGCACCTGCACCTGCAACTGCAACTGCAACGTTGCGTCGTTTGTTCCGTCGCGCTGCAGCCTACAGCCAGCAACTCGGTGGGTGCGTGGCTAGCCGCGTGGCGATTTAGGTTCGCGCCATGACTACTGGTGCTCGGTGCTCGTTGCTCGGTGCCCGGGGCTCGGTTTATTTGGCTTGAGATGCAGCACGCAGATGCGGCCAGATGCAGCAGATGCAGATGGATACAGATGCAACGTAGCGAATGGACTTCGCATGTCCTACTTATAGGTCCCAGTACTGTAGAGTGTAAGTAGTTGTACAAGTACCGGTAATAATGTCAAGCTGAAGGGCGAATTGTACCCTACCCTACCTACGGAGTATAGTCAGAGTGACTCACCGAGCTTATTCTGTCATGTAGATGCAACAGCTCGGAGCGCTTGGACTGGTGCACGTACGAACGATGCTGCGACGACTTCTTCTTGGAGAGCTTATCCAGATGCGACCTTCACTTCACTCGGGGATGGCCAGGTTCGTCTTGCTTTCTTTCGTTCGTATTGTTCGGTTTTTCTTTCTCTGTTTCTTTCACTTTCACTTTCACTTTCACTTTCACTTTCACTTTCACTTTCTCTTTCTCTTTCTCTTTCTCTTTCTCTTTCTCTTTCTCTTTCTCACTCTCCTTCTCTCTCTCTTTCCCTTTCCCTTTCCCTTTCCCTTTCCCTTCCCCTTTCCTTGGAGCGCGATGGGATGGGAGGTCGGTAGGCTATGTAGGCACGGGCTCTTGGTGCCACAGACCTGACGTCGAATGAGCGACCGAACGAACGAACGAACGTGCTTTGATAGGAAGGAAGGATTCTCAGGAGGTATCAGCCTGACAATCGACCAGGCCTCCCGGAACGAGGTGGATCTCGGGGTTGAACAAAGCTCCCTTTCCTCTTGTTCGACAGATTAGTATTGTGCGTCTGTCGGTACCCATCTACCGTACCGATACTCTACCTGCTGCTGATCGATCATAAGCATATACTTCATCGGCAAATACGAAGACAAAGATTGTTCGGATGAAGAGAGTTTTGATGTTGTTCCAGGTCTTCCAGGTTTCACGCGCCCAAGAAAACACCCAGCGGCCCCTCTTCCAGCATCCCGGTCTAGGTTGGGTAGGTTTGGGTACAGGTCGGTAGAGTACCTATGTACATAGATAGAGTAGCGTGTTTGAAGGGGACGTACAGCAGGACCCTGCAATACCAATACCTTTCTCCGCAGGTTGAATACCTACCTTAGCTATCACCCTCCGGCCGTGGATAATAACAAGTGAATCGGTTTGCACTTCAGGTACGGCTGTTTCGATTTCTATCTACCTTCCTGCTGCGTCCGAGGCGTGGAAAGACTTGTCGCTCGCTCGCTCGCTCGCTCGCTCCCTCGCTCCCTCGCTCCATTTTCTTCCTTTCTCACTCACGATTAGGCATGCCGTGCCGATCAGGGTGGTTAGCTACCTACCTAACTCCGCTTGAACAGTGATTTTCGAGAACCGGCTTCTCACTACGATGATGCGAGAGAGTGGAATGCCCGGAGCCTCAACATTCCACTTACAATGAGTCATTGCTCGCAAGCAAGGCTGAAGGGTAGGGCTGCGTGCATGGCGGCCGCTGCAAGAGCCAGAGTAAACCAATTCAAGCGCTTTTCTTCTTCCTCGTTGCTTTTATCATTCGCGGGTGCATCCCACAATGGTGACAATTAGGGTAAACTCGAACGAGCCCTGGTGGATACGATCTCTTCTTTGGTGGGAGTCAGAATTTCAAAACTTCATTCCTTTTGAATCATTTCCAAAAGTGAGTGCGTGGGTGACGGCCAAACATGGTCGATTGGTGTAGCACCGTGTAGAGAGGCTGCTGAGCTAGCAGACGAATACATCAGTCGAGTAGAATGAATGAATGAATGAATGAATGCATGAATGAATAATTCATTGATTCACAAGCAGAGTCGGTCGATCCATAGATAATAAGAGAGATGCTTCGTACATCAAAAAATATACGGACTTGCAAAAGGGCAATACGGCAATAATTGCAATACCTGCCTGCAATACTACTACTACCGGTACCTACGGTAGAAAATACCGTACCGGACTCAGGCCCGGCTCACCACCTCCCCCTGCCCGCTAGTCCTTAAGCGAGGCCGTAAGATGGAAATTATCTTCCCCCCCCAAAACTTTCTCCTGCTCTTCCCTTCCCCTTCCCCCCAACCCTCCAATTTTTTCTGATCATCAGAAACCACCCCCATAATTGCCAACGACCCCCCCCCCCCAACTACTCCGGCAAGAATCTTCTATTCGTAGGAGATACCTTGCGGCAGGAATAGTCTCTCGATACCGCACACGTACTCGGAATTAATAATTGCTTGCGCCCGTCTCGACGTCCCGCTGCCGACACACTCCTTCATCACGAGCGAAGAAGCCTCCGCGGCCATCTTTGACTGACTGTTAATTGACTGTCAACACTTCCTACATCTTCTCACACACGCGACTCACACTCACCACTGAGAGCGATCTCTCCGCTCTATCGTATCTCCACTCCTCACGACCTCGTCTCATTCGATCGCCTTTCGGCGACGCCTTCGTCTCTTATCGCGACGTCATCCAACAACAACAACCATACCAACGACCATAACAACGATACCAAAAAGATCACTCTATGACTTCCGTGTCTCAACAATCCCAAATCCCCAGCCAGGCCTCTAATACCAGCAGCGCGTCGCAGCCTACCCTGTCGTACGCTTCCACCGCGAAGAAGGCAGTCTCGTCGCCACTCAACGCGACGAGCTCCTCCACCCCTTCGCCCGCCGTGGCTGTCGGAGGCTCTGGGCCGGTACACCATGGCAAAAGTAGTTCCATCTCGCCCCTCAACGGCAAGCCAACAACTATTGCACCTGCGGTACCGGCAATCTCTGCACCTGCAATCGCCCACAGCAGCTCTGCGGTCAATGGCTCTTCCGAGCATAGTCGGAAGAGTTCCGTCACCATTGGCGCAAACGGCATGAATGGAGGACCCGTGGGTGGCATGAAGATTCAATTCGGATCAGTCCCAGAGGCTTCTCCCAAGGTTTCCCACAGCGCTCCTGAAGGTAGCACGACTTCGGCCCCCATCGCGATTCCCAACCCCAGAATCACTGACCCGTCTCATTCTCCGTCGCCAATCCCAGCCCCATCTGCGAGTGGTGGCAAGCCTCCCTCGGGTCTTCAAGGAAACAACCCTCCCATGGCTTTTGGTAGCTTCGAGAACGTAAGTCTGATACACGTCTCCTGTCGCCGCGCGCTTTGACTAATCTTCTGTGTTTGACAGCAACGACGCCCTGGCGCTCAGGCAGCCCTCGCCTCATCAAACCCACAAGTCGGTCACAATCGCCACGAGTCGTCGCAATCTGTGCATAGCGACATGAGCAATCACACGGGTAACCCAGGTCGCGGGGGATTCTCTGGACGAGGAGGCCGAGGTGGTGCCAGCGCCAACTTTACCCCTGGGTACCCGCCCCAGGGACAAATGAATTACGGAGCTCAGAATAATTACCGGCCCTCGGGCAATCCACCTCGCGGTGCCATGGCGCCCTCGTTCCAAGGTCGCGGATTCCCCAACTCTCCTCATCAGGCCACACGAAGCCCCAACCTGGCCAACTCGATTCCCGGTGGCTCGATGCCCGGCACCCCCAACATGAACCAGGCGATGCCGATGCCAAACCAACAGCAGTATGGCAACTACTACGCACCCATGCATCCACAAGTACAGAGCCCTTCTTCTTTGAAATGCGTCCCTTACAAATCCGTCTCCAAGGGTAAGAGGGGCAAGAACAATAACTACCGGTTTAGCGGCAAGAATGAGCAGTACTCAGAACGCCAGCGGCCACAAGAGAGTCTGATGCAGGTGTTCAGCCACGACTATACGACTGATGAGCTTAAGCTGCCAGTCCGTGAGAATCAGGTCCATCATGATGCGAAACAGTTCCACGAACTTACACCGCCCGTTGCGGCGATGCGTGTCAATGGACCTGCACCACGAGTCGCTGGGAACCCCGATCTGACTAATCTTGCTGGTTCCGGTTTGCCTACTCTTCCCCCTTTTCCTCAGGCTCCACTAGGTGGAAATCGCAGCAGTGGCGGCCCCCCACCTCCATTCTACGAGCCTCTGGGTCCTCCTAATCTTGATCCTGTGACAGGAAACTTTGATCAAATTGCACAACGCTTACAAGAACAACAGCAGTACCCCGGATACCCCCCTCAATTCGGCAACGATGGGCGCATGGGCATGCAACAGGCACCATACGGCTATCCTCAGATGGCCCACATGCAAGGCTACCCACCCCCATCTCCACAACCTCCATTCCACCAGCCTGCTGCCTACACTCCAGGCCAGTACAACAATGGCGGTCAGTCAATGTCGAGAAACGGTTCGCAAATGTCCGAGAGACCAGCCTCTAGTATGGGACAACCTCAGACACCCATGACTCCAGTAGCTCACGCCCATGCTCCTCAGCCGAAGCCCAACCCTGCATCTCCAGCTTTCTCCAGACCTGCTCGAAAGAGCGCTGCCATCATTATCAAGAGACCCGATGGGGAGGCCGTGGATGTTGGTAGTTTTAAGGCTCCAGCGTCGCCAGCTCCCAGTCAGCAGCGCGCCAGAACACCTCCCGTCATCGCCTCCACCCCGACTCCTCCACCAAAATCCGCCACTCCTCAAGTTGCTCGCAGTGACAGTGGCCCTACTCCTCAAAAGACTGCCGAGCAGATTCGTCTCGAGATGGTAGAAAAGGTCAAGAAGGCCAAGGAGGAAGACGAAGCTAACGAGGCCAAAGAGGCTGCCGACGCCAAGTTGAAAGATGAGGAGAAGATGCAGGAGGCTGCCAAGGCTGCGGAGGCCGAGAAGGCCAAGGCAGAGGCCGAGGCAAAGGCTGCTGCAGCAGAGCAAGCTAAGAAAGACGAAGACGAAGAGCTCGAGCGTCAGATCCAGGAGATGGAGGCAGCCGAGGCTGAGAGAGAGCGAAAGGAGGCAGAGCTCCTGGCGAAGCGTGCGGCCGAGAAGGAGGCAGCCGAAGCTGCCAATGCCGAGAAGAAAAAGGCAGAGGCTGCTGCTAACGATCTCAAGCTCAAGGAACAAGAGCGTGAGATGGAGCGCTTGGAGGACGAGAAGGAAAAGAAGCGTCAAGAGGCAGAGGCCAAGCCTGCCGCTGGAGGCGACAAACCTGCCGAGAAGGAGGGCTCGAAGACCCCCAGCACTTTGGCCTCTAAGCTTTCCAACATGACCCTGGGCACAGGTAGTGGCGCATCCACACCAGACTCTGACAGTTCGATGGGTCCACCCCCCAAGATCAACCTGTCCGAAAAGCGGGGAAAGCCTGTTGCCCTCAACCTGGCCCCTCTCAACAACAAACCGGTAGAGCCACCGCAGCCTAGCGCTGCTCTTCAATCTTTGAAGTCCGCTCGCTTCCTCACCCTGATGAACTCTTCTCTCTACCCACCTAATATCAACTCCCCCAACCCGGCGCTGAACTCTGCCGTCACCACGAAGGGCAAGAGCTTCAAGTACGATAAGGAGTTCTTGCTCCAGTTTCAAAAGGTCTTCGTTGAAAAGCCATCGATGGAGTTTGAGTCACAAATCAAGGCTCTCATTGGAGATGGTGATGGGGGATCAGCTCGCCTGGGCTCTGCGAGACCCGGTGGAAGTGGGATGGGACCCAGACAGGGTTCTTCACGCAACAACCCACCCGGTGCTTTCGCTATGGGCTCTTTTGGTGCCGTCGGCGGTGGTGGCGGCAAGACACTTCCTCCCGGAACAACCTCGGCCGAGCGCTTTGCTATGGCCAGCGGCTCCATGCCTCGCCCTGCACCTTCGACTTCCTCGTTCAACCGAGCAGGTGGAGCAGGCTTCCCAGGTGGCAACCAAATGGCTCGTAACATGTCCAACCCCATGAACAATATTCCCCATTCACCCCGCCAAGCAAGCAGATCCCAACGTGGGGGCGGTGGAGGCGGTGGAGGCGGTGGCAGCAGAAAAGATAGCAACTTCCAAAGTTCTTCTAAATCGGAGGCTCAAGCAGCAAAGACGATGCCTCTCACTGCCGGCATGGACCTAAAGCCGATTGCAATCACCGCTACCGGCTGGAAGCCACGGATTGCTCAACAGGCCTCCGCCACTGGTGCCGCTGGACCCACCCCCGGCTCATCAGGTGCATCTGGGCACCTGGAGCCTGATATGGTTCAAAGAAAGGTCAAGGCAGCTCTGAACAAGATGACTCCCGAGAAGTTCGATAAGATCGCGGATCAGGTTCTCGCCATTGCCGCTCAATCCAAAGACGAGGCCGATGGACGCACTCTCCGACAAGTCATTCAACTCACCTTTGAGAAGGCTACTGACGAGGCTCACTGGGCTTCTATGTACGCCAAATTTTGCAAACGTATGTTGGAGACCATGAGTCCCGAGATCAAGGATGAGAGCATTGTTGACAAGAACGGGAACATTGTTTCTGGTGGCAACCTGTTCCGAAAATACTTGCTCAACCGATGTCAAGAGGAGTTTGAGCGTGGTTGGAAGATTGACTTGCCAGAGAAGCCGGAAGGTGATGGCGAAGAGGTCAAGACTGAGGAAGCCGCCATGCTTTCTGACGAGTACTACATCGCCGCTGCCGCCAAGCGACGTGGCCTTGGCCTTGTGCAGTTCATTGGAGAGCTTTACAAGCTTAGTATGCTTACGGAGCGTATCATGCACGAGTGCGTGAAGAAGCTTGTCGACTACACCGGCATCCCAGATGAGGCTGAAATTGAATCTTTGACGAAGCTTCTGAAGACTATCGGTTCCAACCTGGACAGCACGGAGAAGGGTCGACCTATGATGGATGTGTACTTCCAACGCATCCAGACTATGGTTGATACGCCTGAGCTGCCCAGCCGTCTGAGATTCATGCTTATGGATATCATCGATCTGCGCAAGAAGCGATGGGCATCCAAGGATAATAACAAGGGCCCTAAGACTCTCGATGAGGTCAGAATCGAGGTAAGTTTCTGCACATTCCCCCTCTGTTTCACTTTACTGATTTTGGACAGGCCGAAGCAGCTGCTAGCCAGAAGGCCGCTGAGAACAATGCTCGTGGCAGTCAACGTGGTGGTGGGCGCATGCAAATGGGTCGTGGCGACGGCCGCAATTTCTCGGGTCAATACGGCAACCAACCCCCGGTCGATTACCAGAAGAACGTCGTTGGTATGGACGATCTTCGCCGGCTTACCAACAAGAACCCTAGCCGGGCCGCAAGCCAGCAAATGTCTTTCGGTCCATCATCTATGTTCTCATCCCGCAGCAACAGTGGTCGCAAGGGACCTGGCAACTTTGGCAGAGCAGGAGAAGAATCCGGAGCTTCTTCAAGAACAGGCACCCCTCCTCAGAAGGAAAAGGCAGACTCTACTTCCGCAAATGCATTCAGGTATGTCTCACTTGTAACTTGTTAGTAATGACGATTCTAATGTATCTTAGCCTGCTTGCAGGATTAGGATCTGGTGATCAAGAGACCCCAGCCTCCCCACCTTCGACATCCGCTTCTCCCGCCATGACCAAGTCTATACCTGCTTCGGCAGACAAGTCTGGCGACAAGGAGAGCCAGTCATGAGGCTTCTGTTAACATACACAAAAGTGTTTCAGAAGCATCCTAATATCTGTGCATAGACCGGTGGTCAATTTTGCATTTGCGGCGGGGCCTTTTTCAAACGTGTCTTAAAAGTTCCTTCGCTTTTTTTTCTTTTCCATACCATGATACCTCGAGTTCGACCAATAGACAGATCTCTTTTTCAATCGTCTGCTGCGCATTTTTCGGGAAGTGCACAGGTTGGTTTGCTTTTGCGATGCTGCATCTTGCTTTTTTGCTCACAGGGTTTGACCTGAGAGACGGCACTGGCCTTCTCTGGCTCAACTACTAAAAGCTTTTGTCACAATAGTTCTTCGTCTCCTTTGGTGGTCTTCACGTCGTTTTTGCGAGGGAGATCCATACTCGCGTTGCATTTCTGCGTCGACGCTTCTATTGTTGCGGAGCGGGATTCGTGCCGGCTTGCAGATGAGGAAAGAGAACGGGACTCGTTTCACGCTGCGTTGCTCCTTCCATTTCCTGATAGCCTGGCTGGCTTTGGTATGTAATCTTGGGTTGGCAGGAGAGCGAGGTTGGACCTCATTCATGCCAGGGATGATGGAGATCAGGGAGATGGCTTGATTGGAACATGCCGGGGAGGATTTCGCTCGGGAAGGCGCTACATTGTACAAATATTTTAATTCGCAGAGCCAGGCCAGCCAGCCACAGCAGTCAATCAGAACGAAAAAAAAAAAAAACAAAAAAAACCCCCATGTTTGCGCTTGACGTGATGACGATCTTTCTGCTTGTATGTATTATCATGGAACCACAACCCCATCCATCCATCCATCCATCCATCCATCCATCTCACACTCACTTCTCTCGAGGAAGCTGCCCGCAATCATCTCATGCGATGCCACCTATGTATGTATGCCTGCCTGGTCTTCTTTTTCGAAGAGACTTGCCACAGGTATTTTGTACTGCTTGCTTGTTTGCTTGTCTCTATCTTCATCTCCATCTTCATCTCCAGCCCTTCTTCTCCCTTACATACTCTCTCTCTCCCCCCC